CACTTGGGCTGTTTGTCTGAGAGAAATTACTTGGGCCAGGTGGCGTGGCTTTGTTTGAGTGTGGGATCTCTCAGGGAACAGCTGGCAATAGCCAGGTGATCCCTTCTGTTGGACATTTATGTTTTAAGCATTTGAACAAGGACAACAGTTGGATACAAGCAAAAACATAGAATAAAATAGAGAAAGCAAAATTTTGAAGGGTGGTGTGTAGTGTGAACTTACTAATTTTGTTATTTCTTGCTCATTATTGCACTGCACCAAGTTCTGCTGTTATTTTTTAATATGATGAACATAATGAAATCAGTGGGATTTGACTGTGGCTCTTTGCAGCGTCACAGCTGCTTAATCCTGACCTGAGCTGAATCCTTCCATGGGAACACCATGAACCAAAGTTCAAATGTAGGAGAACAGTGCAGTAGGTAAAAGAAAAAGTTTCAAAGTCTTTATTACCTTTCTGGAACCAGTTAAATAGATTTATGGGAGAAATATTATTTATTGAGTACACAGTTTTGTATGAATACCTCAAGTCAAAATTAAACATTTGGTGCCTCTTAGGAATTGTTTCTTAGGGAATACAGTTAAAATATTAGGGGTGTTGAGATCTGAATGTCCTAGGTAATTTTTTTTTTTTTTTCAAAAAAGGTCTGTTGGCAAAATAGTTATTTGCTATTTTTAGTTATAGTAGATCTTTGTTGCTGAAATCATGTCTCAAATCTGTTTCAAATCTCTAAAATCCACCCTGAAGTCCTTCCAAGGAGGACTTTCTCTTCTTCTTCTCTATGTATTGACTGGTGTCCCTGTTCCTTGTTGTCCCCATGAATGATTCCACTGGGAAAGTCCTTCTCATGCTGGATCCATCTCCTCCCTTGGAGGGTTCATTGGTTCATGGACCTTCCCAGCCCATTCCTGCTCCTCACCCCCTGCCTTCCCCTCAGGGAGCCCGGGATCTGCATGTGGCTGGGCTGGCCCTGGCCTGGGGGATGCACTCAGCTCCCTGTTGGGTGTTTGGGGTGAGAGCTGCTCCAGAGCTCCCTGGGGTGCAGGCACTGGGTCCAGGAACACCTGCATCACCCCCTGGTGCCTCTCCTGCTTCTGGAATCCCAGCATTCTCCTCGGGGAGGTGCTGCAACAAGGACTTGCAAACACTTGGATGTGGCCAAAACAGCCTAAACCTGACCTTTAAGCAGTTCTTCAGGCGCTTGTGGCTCTGAATCCCTGCATTTCCACAGCCCTTAGAGGCAGGTGGTGGCACTGCCAGGTGGGCACCCAGGGGATTGGAGTGTCCCCAGTGGTTCAGATAAGGCCGGAGCAGATAACATTCCTGTTCCCCCTTTGTGTTGGAGCTGATGGCATCACTGGAATGTTGTTGCCAAACAGGAAGAAGCCTGGATATGCCAATAGGGGGAAGGCAGGAAAAGGGAAATCTGAACACAGCATGGAAAGTATTTCCAGTGATCTCATAACAGCCAGAGGGTTCAGTGAGTGGTTTTCAGGTGTGGCTGGCTTGTTTAGAAAAGATCTCCTGGGCCCCCTGGGTGGTGGCCCTGGAGCTCTCTGGCCATGCTCCCTCTCTTTGTTACCCATGGTTTTCCTACAAGATGAAAAGGTGGGGTCACACCAGTGGACCCCATGGACACCTTCACCTCTTGGATGTCACCAGCCCAGTGCTGGGGCACTTCAGACCTTGCCACTGACTGATTTGAGTCCAAATCCTTGTGGGTATTTGCACACGCTGCAAAGTATTTTGATAAAGTAGTTGTAGTATTTGATGTCTGCTCAGAAGGAGCCCTGGGAAGGGCAGCTTGATAGAAGGGCTTGAGGATCAGCAGCTGGAATGTCCTCTCACCCTGCATCCCTGGGATTCCTCTGGGGCTGCCTTGGCTGGCACTGCTGCTGTCACACCTCAGCAGCACAAACAGATTCCTGTGTCTTGGAATGCTGTGGGATGTGGGGAAAGCCATTTCCATAGGGAAAATCATTTCTAGGGCTAAGTTAAAAAATTCTGCTTCTGATGTGGCTGGGAATTGCTGCCTGCCCTGCAGTGGCCAGGATGCAGGGGTGCAACTCTGCTGCCTGGAGTTGTGTAGGAGTTCCAGCATCCCTCTGGTTCCAGTTCCTCCACAGTAGGAGATAAATTGTGGTGCAAAGCACAAGTCACTTGCTGAATGTGCTTTCAAAAAATGAGATTCATGAAAACTGTGTAAGAATAACTGCAGAGAACAGTCCAGAGTTGGACTTACTGTTTAAGAAGTGATGGAGATGTTAGAAAGAAGAGACTTGAGTTGCTTCTTCCACAGTGCTGAAAGCTGGAAGGGACAAAGCCATTCCCTGATTGGTGTTAGAGGTAATTTGGGTGTAATTGCTCATTAACACAGCTCTGACTGCTGAGCTCTGCTCACCAGGCTGGGGATGAAGCCTCTGTAACAGCGCTTGTGGCAATTGTAGGAAACAGGAAAAAAGGAAGGAAATCCCTTCATCTTTGGGGTACCTCCCCCAGCTCCTGGCAGCCCCAGAAGTGTTTAAGTGCAGTGTTTGGGGCCCTGCTCACCTCACCTGGAGGGTTTCAGGTCATGCTGCTCTCTCTGGGTCACAGCTCATTTTTCAGGCATCCTTAGGGTTTTGTTGTCTGTGAGCGTTCTCCTGCAGTGCTGTGGGGAGGAACATTCCTGCTCTGAGCCTTGCACAGGATGGAACTTGGTGTCTGTTCTCTGGGAACTCCTGGCAGCCCTCCCAGACCCCTCAGCTCTGTGTGCACATCACTTCCCAAAAATTGGATCCATTTCATGATATGGGAAGAAAAACACAAATATGTGGGGATGGGGTTTAGATGAAGCAGATGAATTTAAAAAATGTTCCACTTCGACTCAACTGAATGAATTTTAATGATAGGTAAGGGGTGGATTTTGCATCAAAACCATGTAATTTGAAGCAGATCACCTGACAGTATTGCCAAGACAGGTAAGAGAAAGCCAAATATGAGTGTTTGGAATTTGAAATCAAGTAGGACAGTGGGAAAAGTGCTGAAAGCAATGGGCACCAGGCAGTTCCATCCCTTGTTCCCACTGAGGAAGGAGTTGGTCAGGTGCAGTGAGAAGGTCTCCAGTCCAAGGGAGCTCATGGTAAGGGCTGGGATTTAAACACAGGAAAAGCCTGGTGTGATATTGGATCAGCATTGGAATGTCATTCAGGAGCAGGGAGATGGTTTGGGAAGATCCCCTGGCCCTTCAGTGTTCTCCTGTGTGATCTGCAGCAGCAAGGGACTCCCTGGGGAGTGGGCCCCTGCTGAGGCCAGAAGAGCTGAAAGTGGTGCATTTCTGCAAGAAATCCAATTATAGGACATTAAAAAAGGGGGGGTTAGATAAAAATAGATTTTGCAATGAATGTGAAATTAACAGTGTCATGTATTGATCAGGAGGGGCTGCTGGAGAGCACTTAATTGGGATCTTTAGCTATTAGAGTGTGGAAGGGATAATTAAGGAGATACCCTGGAGTATGTGTCTCCAGATCTGTATTTGGAATACCAAAATATCCTGGCTCTGGGATCTGTCTCCCAGTTCTGCCCACAGACTGGTGCTACATTGTACAAACCTGATAAAACCCATGGCTGCTTCTTAGGTGTCTGTCAGGACCTGCCCAAGAAACAGAACAGAAAAAATGAGAGTTCTGCCAATTGAGGAACTCCCAAACTGATACTTGGGTAGGGAAGGGGCTTTGACATTTTAAAATCAGGTTGTTGCTGATGGAGACTCCTCAGTGTTTTTCCCTGAAGGTTTGGTCATTCAGACAACATTTTCTCCTTTAGTCAGGTTTTCTAGGAGGTTTTCTCATTGTGTATCAGAACACAAATCCACATGTTCTGGTGGAGATGCTACAGCTCAACAAGCTCTTCTAGTCCTGAATTTCTTTCTGGGGGAAAGCAGCAATTTTAGTTAGTTTCCATAATTAATGAAAAAATAAATGTAGTTGGCAGTATGGATTCCCATGTGGAAAATGTCATCAGGTGGCTTAAGCTTGGTAAATAGTTCAGAATGCAGAAAAATTCCCTGTATCCTGAGCTTTGGGGGTTTGTTACTAATTGTGCAGCTTGGAATACTCTGTGGTAATTGGGGTCCAGCTGCTCAGAATCTCACTGTTACATTTACTGGCTGGATTGCTTTAATAGGATTTGGAGAGAGAGTAGCTCTTCCTATGGTTCAGCTTGTGCTGTTAAATCACCAACCTTTTAATGCAATAATCCCTGGATTTATCCTGCCTTGGAGTAGCAACACACAAAGACATGACTGAGGCTAAAAGTTTGGAGAGTGTGGATATAATCCAGAGCAACAGTTATTTATGTTTGTTAGAGTCACTGTAAAATGATGAAATGGGGGTTGTGGGACGGAGGAAGATGGCAGGAAAACAGTGGGAAAAGGGCTGTAACTCCAGTGCCATGGGCAGTAGCAGAGCCCAACCAGGTCAGGACTGCAGGGTTTGGCTGGATGAGTTTGCACTGAAAGGAATTCTGTGTATTCATCTGTCATTTTGTTATGATTGAGAGTCGTTTAAGTGAACTGTGCATGTTAATGAGCTACAGTAGGAAGTGGGGTCTGGGTGTGCATTTGAGTAATTAACAGAGTTGGGGTTTGGCTGTCACACACATGGCATTACACATGCTCCCAAAGCAATGACACTGTGGTTTGCTGCTGGTATCCTCTCCTGAGGTCGATTTTTTCCCCCAGTTCCACCCTTCCCTCCCCTGCCACTTCCATTACAGTGGAGATTTGGTCTGCTTGCCTGACAGTGCCGTGTCCTGTACTCCCCATAGTGGTCAGTAGTTACCTCTGCCTGCATGTCAGCCTTCAGTTTAATGGCCTTTTTTGTGTGTTCATTTTCTTCTGTTTCCCATCGTGGTTTTGTTTATTTCTTTTACGTTTTTTTTTTCTTCTGTTCTCTTTTTTTTTTTTTTTTTAAACCGTGGTGATGTTTGCCCTTCATATTCCCCAATGTTTGCACATGCCAAGATGTTGCCATCCCAACATTACCTCCCACTTCACTGACCAGTGCCACTAATGACCATCTAGCACCAGCCACAGCGGGACCCCTGCCCTCCGCCCCGCGGGACGTCGTGGCCACCCTCGTGTCCACTCGCTTCATCCGGCTCACGTGGCGGCCGCCGGCCTCGGACCCGCAGGGAGACAACCTCACCTACTCCATCTTCTACACCAAGGAGGGCATCAACAGGTAAACTCCTGGGCCAGGGGCTCTGCTGGGCTTGGCTGACACGGCCTGAGGTGGAGGGGTTGTGTTCCCCTGCCTCCTTCCCGACCCTCCTGGAGGGAGGAGCTGCACAGGCAGTGGAGCAGTTGCACACTCCTGGAGGAGCTGCACAGGCAGCGGAGCAGTTTCACACTCCTGGAGGAGTTGCACAGGCAGTTTAGGAGTTGCACACTCCTGGAGGAGCTGCACAGGCAGTGGAGGAGTTGCACACTCCTGGAGGAGCTGCACAGGCAGTGGAGGAGTTGCACACTCCTGGAGGAGTTGCACAGGCAGTGTAGGAGTTGCACACTCCTGGAGGAGCTGCACAGGCAGTGGAGGAGTTGCACACTCCTGGAGGAGCTGCACAGGCAGTGGAGCAGTTGCACACTCCTGGAGGAGCTGCACAGGCAGTGGAGCAGTTGCACACTCCTGGAGCAGTTGCACAGGCAGTTTAGGAGTTGCACACTCCTGGAGGAGTTGCACACTCCTGGAGGAGCTGCACAGGCAGTGCTTGAGCATGGTTGGATTGTTTGCAAGCCTTCCAACAGCTGCCACCTGCCTTCAGCAGCCTGCTGGGGACAGAGCAGCAGGAGTGTCACAGCTCCTCAGGGAGCAGGGGAACATCCCCTGGAAGCCCTGCTGGGAGCAAGAGGCACATCAGGCTTCAAACCCCTGCAAATCCCCCCTCACTCAGGGCCAGCTGTGAGGTGGGTGTTGGTTAAACCCCGTGCTCAGTGCTAAATGCCAGTTCCCTCCTCAGAATTGCTGTAAACAGAAATCTGGGAAATGCCTCACAATCATCACTCGTGATGTATTATCCCTGTGGATGATATCAATCTACCCCTTCTCCTTCCTGATGGGATCTACTGCTCAGAATTACAGTTTCAAATTGTGATAAGTTTGAGGAAGCTGAAATGAACATTCATTTGGAGCAATGCTTAATTAATTGCAGATTAGCTTATCAGATTTATTACTCAAGGGAAAATTATCTGTTCACTTTATTGATGACAGTGTGAGACACAAAGTCATTTGGAACAGAAAACACTCCAGAGGGGAATTCCTGCTCTTCCTCAATCCTGTGGATAGACATCTTGTCCAGGCTCTTGGCAATTAACTGAGGCAATTTGTAACATTTTATTTGCCTCACAAATGTTTTTCTGTTACTCCCTTAATTTGGTGATATCCAAGGTGCTCCAGGCCAGGCAGGATGGAGCTTGGAACCCCCTGGGGCAGTGGAAGTATCCCTGCCATGGCAGGGGTGGCACTGGATCACTTTTCATTTCTGTTCCAACCCAGCCTGTTCTGTGATTCCAAAGGGAGCATTACAAAGTGAGGAGGCAGCAATGGAGGGCCATTTCTGCTTCGTGGGCTGCCCAGTGTCACCAGCCATGGCTTGTCCCACCCTGGCCTGGTGACATCATGAGGCTCCCCTGGAGGTGGGAATGAGGGGGTGTCCCCTGTCACAGTGCCTGGGGACCTGGGGGAATCTGATCAGATGGGAGTTACTGTCTCACACAGCTGCAGGGTTATTTCATCCCCATGGCAGGTATTTATTTACTTCACACTCAAGGCAATTCCCCTGAAAAGGGAGTGAAAATTCAAAAGTGCTGCAGGGAGGTTTGATTCTGGGGAACTTTAGACAAGCACTCAGGCAGAAGAACCGCAGACTTCAAGATTTGGACAGGAAAAAAAGGAAATAATAGCACATTAAAAGAATAAAAATGGCACATTGATGGTCGGAGGTAGTAAATTACACATGTGGGATGTTGAAACACTGCTGAATTCACAGTTAACTGTGGTGTGCTTCAGACACAGCAAATGGAGTTTAATTGTGTGTAATCACACTCAGAATGCCTCTGGAGCTCCCTGCCAGGCCCCACAGCTGGCACACACAATATCCACTCCCTAACAGCTCCCCAAAGTTGCTTTTTTAGATGTAAGTGCAGCTTTAACCTTGGCATTTCCAGCCAAACTCCTGGGCTTGCACTGAAGGCTCTTCCTGTGGGTGCTTGAGAGTTCCTGTGAGCCTGGACTGGAGTTCCCAAAGCTCCTGAACTGGGGATTAGAGTGGAGTCATGGAACAGTTGTAAGGATCTGCGGGGTACTGCAGTCATTCCTGGGCCCATCTGCTTGGTGCCTGTTATCCCAACCTGAGCACGTTGGAAAAGGTGCTCCAGGCTCCCCAGGAACAGCCATAAAGGAAGGATTCACTCAGCACTTAATTAGATTAATCTCACCCTATTTTTACCAAGCTGTTGTGAAGCCACATCCCTGGTTATTACTGAAAATTTGCAATACTGTGACTTGTCTATTTATTTTTGGTAGATGTCTTTCCAGTAATTTTTTTTTTCTAATTTTAAATAATAACCTTCGTTTGCTGATTACCATTTTTTCTTAGATCAAATCAGGGAGTGCACTTGCACTTGAGACAGAAAATGCTATATTTTGCATGTTAATGGGAGCTGGATGTCACCTCACAGCTGTGAATCCATTGGCACCTAGGCTGGGCTCTCAGATCCCATCCTTGTAGTTACAGCACGTCTTAAGGAAGCTCCACTTGGAAACGTGTTTTCAAGAAAATTTTGTGCTCAAAGTGGAAAAATTAGCAATGAAAATTAATAAAAAGCTGAAGTAAATAAAGCTGTTTATGCACTGCCATTTTAGCTGAGCTCATGAAGGGGAACATTCTAGAAAATGGATGTAAATAGATATTTAGTTACAGAGAGTGCATTGTTCCCCTCTATAGATACAGTTTAATAGGGCAGAAACCAACAGGGATTTCAGAATGTTTTCAGCCAGGTTCTGCTAAATCAACCACACCAGTGGATGTAAAAAAAAAAAAAATTAAAAATGGGAGTTTTGGAATCCTCTTTCCCTGATAGAAACTGAAGCAGAGTGGCTGGAAGGGGAAGGGGAGCCTGGGGCGGTTCTGCTGGAGTTCCCTTGTCAGAAATGCTTTAACAAGTGTCAGTGGGGCTGAGGCTGGCCTGTCCCTGCCCATCCCTGTCCCAGGGGGAGCCTGGCAGCCCAGAGGGGCTGCATGGTGCTCAGAGCAGGCACAGTCCCCCGCATTTGCTCACTGGGAAGTTCTTGATTGCTGCTTTTGGAGTTCTTGGCATTCCCAGGGAGCTCCTTCCCAGGGGAGGATGGATGGCATTTCCCAGACACAGCCCCGAGCAGCTCAGGTGCGGGGCAGTGCCTTGAAATAAAGGCTGCCCTTGGTTTAATGATTGATCTCCTAATCTTCCCCTCAATCCCTGATAAGAACAGCTGGAGTTTCCTGGATGGCGTTTGGCAGAGGCCTCGTTGTGCAGGGGAAACGTCGTGTTCCGGTGCCAGGGTTGGCTGGAGGTCACTGAGCAGCAGCAATGCCCCCTCCAGGTGCCCCCCACATGACCTGTGTGCTGCCAGCTGGGTTAGGGCTTCCAGCTTGCAGCATGCCAAACTGACATGCCCCCTCCCATGCCAAGAGTGTTCCTTCTGTGGGCTCTGGTACCCTGCATCTGCCTCCAGGAGTTGCTGGAGGTCGGAATTTTCACTTCACCTCCACTCTGTGGAAGCAGTGTCAGAGCCATGGCATTGCCCTTGGTGTTCCAAACAAATCCAGACATCAGCAAGGAGCCGAGGCAAGGCTGGAGGTAGAAGAGCATGTTAAAACAGCTCCTTTGAAAAATCCCCAAAAAGCAGCCCCACAATATTAACAGGAATGCCCTAAATCTCGCCAGACTGCTAAAATAGTTTCTGTGCTGGCTCCTGAGCTGTAGGATAAACTGTCACTGGGAATTATCACTTGCTGTCACGGGAATAACAAAGAAACCACTTCGAGTTTGTGGGTGTCAAGTGTAATTTATTCTGTTCCTTCAGTGCATTCGGTTTTGTGCAAAGGGAAGTAGCACAATTGGGAGCAGTTTGTCAGCAGCACTTCTGGCACACGCTTGTGGTGTTGTGCAGGGAGCACAGTGCAAACCCCACGTCATTTACACGCTGGGTATGTTCAGATGGGACATGCCACAGGAGCAGCTACTCCTCATTTGCTAATCACTGGTGCTGTCTGTGCCCAACCCTTTTGTTTCCCAAAGGGAACGTGTGGAAAACACGAGTCGTCCTGGAGAGACGCAGGTGATGATCCAGAACCTGATGCCAGAGACAGTTTACGTGTTCCGGGTTGTGGCCCAGAACAGGCACGGCCCCGGCGAGAGCTCGGCACCGCTCAAGGTGGCAACGCAGCCCGAGGGTGAGCAGGATGTTCCTGGAATTTGCCTCACTTTGGCATTGATACTGATTTTATTTTTTTATTCTCCCCATTCACAACCTTTCCCAGAATCTGATGCTTTTTAAAAGTTGTGCTTGTGGACCGCAGTTTCCAAAGAGTTTCCGTGTCGGTGGGATTGTGGGATTTAGTGTCACCATTAAGAACTGATGGGCCCTTCCTTGCTAAATTCTCTAAACTGTTCTAACAGGAATGCATTTTGCTATTACTTGGCATTTGCCTGAAGTTTTCTCTTTTTCAGTTAATGACCATTAACTTTTCAGGCAAATGCCAAGTCACTTGGTAGGGTCATTCTAGACGAAAGGAAGCAGGATCTCCTTTGGAAATTTGGCCCCACCTTCCACCCTGCAGTGAATCCATGTGGAATGTCACAATGGGAAACCCTCCCCCCCCTTTTCCTGGGGTGCTGGCCAGGGTGGGCACCCCGGGCTCAGGACTAACAGAGTTCCCCCTTGTGTTGCAGTCCAGCTGCCCGGCCCCGCTCCCAACATCCGCGCCTTCTCCAGCTCCCCCACCAGCGTCACTGTCACCTGGGAGACACCGCTCTCGGGCAACGGGGACATCCAGAACTACAAACTCTACTACATGGAGAAAGGACAGCACACAGAGCAGGTACAGAGCCTGCTGCACCCCCTCAAACTGCCCTGAAGGGCTGCACACACCCTGGGGAGGGTCTGCTTTTCTGACAGACTGAATGCTTTAGCCTCAGATGTGGGGTTACTTAAAATCAGATTTCCAACATGAAATGTTTGTGTCTGGGCTGGGAATGAAACCCATTTTATCGGTGATGCCCTGATTTGGTATTTGTTAAGATCAAGTAGCTTTTGGGGAATTCCATCATACCACGAGAGGAGAGGGCAGAGAGCAGCCGTGCCATTATTGAGCTGTTCTGGTGCAGATGATGTTAAAGATGTTTGCACAGTTATGGGCTGGGTGTTAGCAGTTCAGGCTAAATACTGATTTTTGACATGATCCCTAATCCAAACTTTCTTGAATTCTTGGACCCAGTGATTGATATTTTGGTATTGCAGAGCATCCAATTAATTTAATTTTCTTAGTATTCCACTGAAGCATTCGGTGTGTTCTGTAGGAGTATGGGCTGCCACCTGAGAATAAAAAGGATTAATCCCAGTCCTCCCAGCCACATTCCCATCTGATTGTATATCAGTATCATTCCAGCTTTAAAAAGCAAAGGGAAGAATATTTTTCTTAGCTTTGAAATATTTTTACATCAGTTTTTAAATAGGGCTGTTGCCTTTTGTGCTTCTGCATCCCACTATTCATACATATATAATCACTATTATAGTGATATATATTGTGATAGTTTTGAGCATTTCCAGGTCCCTTTTCGTGTCCAGGACCAGTGTCCATGTTAGGATTTAAATAGGACATGGAGAATTTTCTCTGGAAACTCAGAGCTGGCATCCTCCCAGGTCCTGGCTGTGCCTGAAGGTGACACACAGGATTCGCTCCTGCTGTGGGTTGTGCAGGAACTCTGTGGCTGATGGCACTGCAGTGATGCCTTGTGAAAGCTGACCTGGAACAGGGACTAGAGGGAGCTAAAGAATAAAGTAGGGATTTATTAAAAGGATATCCTCAATAGATCCACCTTGGGTAGCACAACCCAAAATGGCCACAAAAAAATGGACAACCAGTCACAGGGACTCACACTTTTATAGGTTTTGGTCCATTTGCATATTGGAGCTAATTGCCCAATTACAGCTTTAGTCCATGAACTCCCACCCTTGTTTTCTCTCTTGGGTGTTTGTTGGTCCACATTGTTTGTGCTCTATGGGGCTGAGATCTGGATCATTTGTCCTTGGTGCCCAGCTAGAGCAGGAATTGTTTTGTCTCCCTGCTCTGTGCAGAGAGCTCACCATCCCCTAATGTGAATCCCAGACCCACACACTAAAGCAGCACAGAATCTGAAAAACAGAAAAGCTAAAGCTGAGGCATGAGCAGAGCTGACCTGAGCTTGCCTGGGGGTGTTGTTGGGGCAGGACGTGGACGTGGCGGGGCTGTCGCACACGGTGGCGGGGCTGAAGAAGTTCACCGAGTACAGCTTCCGCGTGGTCGCCTACAACAAGCACGGCCCCGGCGTCTCCACCCACGACGTCGTGGTGCGCACCCTGTCCGACGGTAAAGCTGCTCCACTTCTTTGCATTTTGGGCTTTTTCCAGCAGTTAGCAGTGATATTTTTGCCTGACATCCGGGAGAAATGATGAGGAGGACTCCATCTTATCAGAAGGCTAATTAATTACTTTATTAGACTATATTATTCTGTACTGTATTACATGATATTACATTATATCTAAACTGAATCTGCCGAGCACTCAACTCAACTGCCCAGCATCTCGTGACTGTCAGCTGACAGTCCTGACACACACCTGGATTCAATTGCCAATGAATCAAAACACACACACATGAATCCAATTATCAGTTCCCTTCAGGTAAACAATCTTCCACAATATATTCCACTTGTGAACCACACAGGAGCAGTAAATGAGATAAGAATTGTTTTTTCTTTCTCTGAGGATCAGAGAATGTGAATCCCAAAAATATTCTTGGGAAGTTGTGCCTTGTTTTTCTCTGTGAAGAGAAATGTGGCTACATTATCTGGTAATTTCTGACAAGTGAATCTTTAACCAGGCTTTTATGGGGTTTGTTCATTGTTGCATGTGGGTATTCATGGTCAAAATCCCCCCGGAGGCTTTCCAGAACTGGGTGAAGGAAAATTGCTACACCTGCAGAAGTGTCTGGGATTGTGATTCCAGAACAATGGTGTCCTTCATTCCAGCATCAGCCTTTTATATCATGGGTTATTGAGCCTACATTGAGCATGGACAGAAAAAAAAATACACTGAAGGCACCAACTCCAAATTATTTTCTAGGTTCACTCACATATGGAGAGACTCTTGGTTTTGGAGTGCTTCTATTTTAATTGTGTTCCTGTGTTTGCACTGCAGCACAGGTATTGTTAAATGCATTGCACAGAGTGGTGAGAGCAAGATGTGAGGTCGGTATAAGGCAGATAAAGAGGTGATGTGAGCAAACAGAGATACATGAGCAACTGCAGAGTGATCAGAGGTAGTGATAACTTGTATTTGTTAGAGAGAAGTTTATACAGAAGAGCACTCAGAGGGAAAGGGAGCAGAGCCTGGAATCCTGTGACCAGCAGCAGAGAGGAATATTGTCCAAACTCTCTCTGGGTCCAGGTTTGTTTCTGGGGCACTTCCTGACTTGGCAGTTGTTTTTGTGTATTTGCTAATTCAGTTCCTCTTCCATGGGACCCTGTCAGCATCTTCTTGAACCTACATCAGCTTTTATCCACAACATCAAGTGGGAAAAGGTTCCACAGATAAATTTCCTCTGAAAAATCCTCCCTTTCTGTCTGTTGTGCCCCTGCTCTGTGTTGGGGTCACTTGTTGCCTGGGGCTGTGCTCCTGAAGGAGGCAATACTCAGTGTCCACTGATTATTCTTATGTCCCACTCCTCATTCTGTGGGCCTTTGCCATGGTTTCCCTGGTTCATGCATTTGCCAGATTCCAGAGACACAGGAGTGGTTGCCCATTTGTCCTGTGGAAGCTGATTCAACCTTTAGTGCTCTTTTCTGAACTTTTCTCCAGGTTCCTTTTCTCCTGTTTTAAAAACTCACAGGGGACAACAATGGTACCCAAGGTGTGAGTGGGGAATTACTTGCATTTGAGGAGTTTTTTGGGCTCTTCTGAGCACCAAGAGGAATCAGCCTGAGGTCTTTGTGCAGTCCTTCACCACAGGATCCCACCCTGGGATCTGTCCAGCTCATCTCCCCCCTTCTTCTTGCTCTGGCCTTTCTTTCCATGAGCACTTCCCTCTCATCCCCTCATTGCTTAAAAGTGAAGGGATTTCTCTTGAAAGACAGAGAAATCCCTATTCTGCTCCTGCTTTCTCAGTTTCATGCTTTAGTGTTCCTTTGGTTGATTTGGTGGAAGTTTCTGAACCAGCAGGTGCAGTTTGAGTGGTCCCATTTTAGTGCTGGCACCACTTTGCCACCTCTGGTACCAAGATAAACTGAGAGAGGTTACAGAAGTCTTGCAGCTGTTTCGTTCCCCAGTTCCTTGAGGATTCCTGGATGGATAACACATGGCCCTGGCAAGAGCCTGCTGTTCCCTGTGTCTGACTCTTCCATAATCCCTTCCACTGGCACTGCAGTGGGAGAGACCATGGGAATCCTTTGGAGGGTGTCAAGGAAACCTCTCCTTTCTCTTCCCCTCACTACCAATGCAAAGAGAGGCTGGGGTGGCCTTACCTTTGTCTTTTTCTGCCCTACCTGACCATTTGCTCACTGGTTTCCCTAAAGGGCTGCCAGCTCCTTGGTTGTTTGAAGAAGAATTTATTATTAGTTACAACGTCATTTAAAAGTTTTCTTGGAGTTCTTTCTTCTCCAGCTTCAGTTTTCACACTTAACCTATAGGTCTTACTTTCCAAAGCTCTCTGAAGGATGTCATCTTGCTTCTTACAGTCTCATAACCCTGGAAAGCTCTCAGATCTTTCCAAAATGATGCATATTTTCCTCCCATGTTTTCCTGTTGTGTCCAGGAGCAGTCTCCATGTCCCCTGCAGGGATTTCTCCCTAAGCTTCCTTTAGCGCTGATTTAACAAAGCATCTGCATTTTTATGTAGGTTTTTGCTCCTAATCTGCTACAGAGCCTTGTTGCAGGGATAACTCTGCAGGTATTACCATTTGAACCCAGGTTTATGTGCTGCTCCTGAGGATTGCTTCTCCTCTCCTGGAATTCCTGATCAGGGATTACAGCTGGGAGTGGACTCTGAGCCTCACAGCCTCATGGAGGCCCTTCCCTCACAGTCTCAGCCATCAGCATGTCCTGGTGCTCCTGCCAGGCTGTCTCCATGTGCTGTCCCCCTCCAGGAGATGCCTTTCCAGAGCAGCTGTGGCTGCCCCTGGATCCCTGGCAGTGCCCCAGGCCAGGCTGGATGGGGCTTGGAGCACCCTGGGGTAGCAGAAGGTGTCCCTGCCCATGGCAGGGGTGGCACTGGAGGAGCAAGGAAAGCTTGGCTTTGTATCCTCTCCTCTCCACTGTGCTGCTCCTCAGGCCCCAGCTCTCCATCCTCAGGTGTGCTGATTTCAGGCTCAGCTGGGCTGGCAAGGGCAGGCAAATCCTGCTCCTCTCCATTTCTGCCGTGGGGTGGTGGTGAGGGAGGTTTCACCCATCCTTTACAAACTGTTCTTGCACTTCATGCCCAGGGGGGTTCCCTGGCATGTTACTGTGGCTGGGCTGAGTTATTTGGAAGATGAATTCTGCAGGCTGGAGCAGTCCTCATCCCTCTTTATCCCTGTGCTCCTTGCTCATCCTTGTGCTTCCCTGGAGCCTCCCCTTCCTGCCAGGGAAGCCTCAGATCTGCCAGCTGAGGGGGCCAATGTTTGCTGTGGAGCCACAAGGAATTCCCTGCTCCCAGGGTTTTTCTTGCACTCCCTTTTTGCCTGGATTTCACTGCCATGGGGAGTGAGTAAAGAACAAGCAAAGAGTGGGAGTTCAAAGGCAGCCCCAGTGTCTGAGATGCTCTTCACCTCCTCACTGTCACAGGGCCCTGGGGACTCAGAAGTTTCCTGTTACAGAAAATCAGGATAACAAAATCTAGGCCAGAAATTTAAATATGGGCTCCCCTAATCAAGCAGTGTGTTCAGTAAAGATTTGCCTTGGGAAAGAGCTGGATAGGATAATTTCTTTGAGAGTTTGAAAAGTGCTTTTAAATATAAACCATATTTTATTTAGATAGGTGTGCAAATAAAGACCTGAATAAAGAGTTTTTTTCTTCAGGATGAAAATACAGAACCATCCTGTATTCCATTCACTGTGTCAGAAAGTACCTGTGGGAGGATTGGTAGTTCCTTCATCTGCTGCTTAAACCAGAATGGTTTGTACTTCCATAGCAAATGAGAGCAGAGAGTAGTTGGGTGTGGAAATGCAATATTTGGAAGTTTTGGGGTTGTAATTCCTTTGATGTTTCCAGTCCCCAGTGCTCCACCACAGAATCTAACGCTGGAGGTCCGGAATTCCAAGGTAAGCTTGGAGCATTTCCTGCTGGCAATGGGTAAATAAAAGGCTGGGGGGTCTTAGATTGGCCATATTTTAGAGCTGCTTTGGGTCTTTTTTCCTCCCATGCAGCTTTTGAGCTCTTTATAGAGAATATCTGAATGGAGAATATATTTCTGAATATCTTTATGGAGAATATCTGAATGTGGGGCTTGGAGAAACTGCAGTCCAGCTGTGGGTTGGCCATGGTGGGATGCAGTGGCAGTGCTAATGATGGGAGGGATTTAATGAGGCTGGAAGGATCAGAGCTGGAATCCCTGCTCACTGCTGTTTGCAGTGTGGGCACACACAGTCACACTTCTGGAGTGCCTTGAGCCCTTGACAAAATGAAATATTTGGCCATTGTGCCTTTGTAATTGCATGTGGAGTTTATTTTTTAAAGCTTTCCTAAAGACTTTTCCCAATACCTTCCTGTGCTGCCTTTCCCAGAGCATCCTGCTGCAGTGGCAGCCCCCTCCTGCCGGGACCCAGAGCGGGCAAATCACGGGCTACAAAATCCGCTACCGGAAAGTGTCACGCAAGAGCGACGTCACCGAGAGCGTGGGGGGCACCCAGCTCTCCCAGCTCATCGAAGGTGAGCAGCAGCTGGCCTGCCTGGGTGCCTGGCTGTGTTTGGGGGCTCAGGGACAGGATTCCATGGGGCTCTTGCCTTGGAAGACAAACAGAAGCAGCTCCCAAAGGAGCTCTGTGGTCCTATGGGCTGAAGGTGGAGCCTGGGGCCTGGTGATCTGATTCCTAGCCCTCATTGGGCCTTGGATTTGCTAAGTGGACTGGATGGTTCCTTACAAAATGTGGAGAAGGACTGGGCTCACTGTGTGCCCAAACACCAGAGATGAAGGTGTGGAAAAGGAGGGCAGAGGAGCAGGGACTGGGCGGGGTTGGCACAGGCTCCTGTGCCCAGCTCTGAGCCCTGGGAATGGCTGACCTCAGGCATCCATGGAATATTCTAGAGGGAATGCCTTTCATCCTTTTGTACACTTAAAAACTCAGTCTAGTCCATCACTTATTGTCAGTCACTTGTTGCCAGCAGAGCTACAGTTGTGTTCAGCAGAACAAGCAGTGCATGAGAACAGCAGCAACGCTACACTGTGTTCCTCTTTAAAATCTCTGTAAATGAATACTTGGTCAAAAGAGAAGAAACTGGGAGATTCTGGAAGAGTTTCTAACAAGATATTCTGATTTTTTTCTCAGAAACTCCAGCTGTGACTTAACAAGTCTCAGTTTTCTCACAGAATTGAGATATTCCTGTAATTCCACTATATTTCTGCCAGCAACAAAACCTGCTGGAGAGGTTCAGTACATCAAATCTTGAGTGCTCTGATTTTTTAGTACAGACTCTTACATGCATTAAACAGGTGTGTGAGTTTGCTCACCTGCTGCCTCTGTGCCACCCCCAGGTTTGGTGATGGTGGCAGCGTTCCTGTTCTTAAAACTAATTAATTAAACTAATTAACAGCCCTAAGTTAAAGCCTGGCTGCCAACAGGCCCTCGCAGTCCCTTCCAGCTGATGCTGTGGGGACAGTGGGAGTGGAAGGCTGGGTTATCCTTGGTTCCTGGGATTTAATTGGGAGCTGTAGGAATTGCTAAGGTGGTGGAGCTGTGGCAATTGCTGGGCTGATGGAGCTGTGGGAATTTCCCCCTATCCTGATGGCTCAGTGGGATGTAGCAATTGCTGGGCTGATGGAGCTGTGGGAATTGTCCCCTCTCCTGATGGCTCTGTGGGAATTTCCCCCTATTCTGATGGCTCTGTGGGAATGGCCCTTGTCCTGATGGCTCTGTGGGGATTGCTGGCCTGATGGTTCTGTGGGAGTTGCTGTCCTGATGGCTCTGTGGGGATTGTCCCCTGTCCTGATGGCTCTGTGGGGATTGCTGTCCTGATGGCTCTGTGGGGATTGCTGTCCTGATGGCTCTGTGGGGATTGTCCCCTGTCCTGATGGCTCTGTGGGGATTGCTGTCCTGATGGCTCTGTGGGGATTGCTGTCCTGATGGCTCTGTGGGGATTGCTGTCCTGATGGCTCAGTGGGGATTGCTGTCCTGATGGCTCTGTGGGGATTGTCCTGTGTCCTGATGGCTCTGTGGGGATTGCTGTCCTGATGGCTCTGTGGGGATTGTCCTGTGTCCTGATGGCTCAGTGGGGATTGTCCCCTGTCCTGATGGCTCTGTGGAGTTGCTGTCCTGATGGCTCAGTGGGGATTGCTGTCCCCAGGGCTGGAGCGAGGCACCGAGTACAGCTTCCGCGTGGCCGCCATGACCGTCAACGGCACCGGCCCCGCCACGGACTGGGTGTCAGCAGAGACCTTCGAGAGCGACCTGGACGGTGAGAGCCTGGGCTGGGGCAGCCGAGTGGGGAACACATTCACTTCATTTCACTGCCACTGGCTGCCTCTTTGAGCAGCAAACCTCTGTGCTTTCACTGCTGTTCTAGGTGTACAGTGGGGTTTATTTAGAATTGACATCAGCTTCTGTTTTAACAGAAAATTCTTGCCAAGTCAATAAGGTGGCTTGAAGTGGAACTGCTTCTACACTTCCTAGTGCTTTATGTTGGCACCAAGTGCTTTCTGCTAAGGAATATTCATTTATAGTGACAATGAGATGTCACAGTAGGGAAGATGTTACTATGATATTTTTATGAAAATCCTTTGCTAGGAATTTTCTCCTATTCTAGCTGAGAAGCCTCAGAAAATAAATGTAAACCATAACTATCTGATGGCTGTGGAATGTGGTCTAGACATTGTTTACCACCAGGTGCATCTGATTGGTCCATGTAAGTTGTTTCTACTTAATAACCAATCAAAAATCCAGCTGTGTCAGACTCTGAGCGTGATGAGCTTTTGCTATCATGCCTTTCTGTTCCTTTCCAACTTTCTGATAGATCCTTTTCTCTCTATTCTTTTTAGTATAGCTTTAGTATGACATTTTAATATAATATCATAATATAATAAATCAACCCTCTGAAACATATAATCAAGATTCTCATCTCTTCCCTCATCCTAAAACCCTCAAACAAAACCATAGAAAGAAATCATTGAAAACATTCTCAGCCACAGCCCTTTGCAGTCTTACCCCCATGTTGGTGCTGTGCTTTCTTTGACCCACAGTAACTTATTTTGCACAGAAGAAAAGGGAGATGAATTATATTTTCTGTATTTTCTGCACCACATCTCCCATCAGAAATTCTGTCGTAGGTATTAAATATAAATTATATTGGAATTGTGGGTATTAGAATAATTACATTGAAAACTCTGATGATGGCAGAAAGGTTCCTGAGCCTGTTGGAGCATTAAATGGGATTTTTCAAAGCTCTTTGAATGTGCTGTAAAGGGTTCTCCTCAACAGAGGGTCTGCTCCACCAAGCCCATGGATTTTTGTGCTGTGTCAGCCATCCTGGCAGCTGGGAGGTGCAATAATGGAAATGAGTCAAGATTTGCTCCCTGCTGCTGGAGGATCCTTCAGCTAAGGAAGGCTGGAAAGCCCTTCTCCCATCTCTGTCTGTGCAAAGCTGATGCTCAGCTTAATCCTGGTCCTCCTGCTCATTCTCCAGTGTGAACAGAGCAGTTCAGGGATGTGGGGACTGGGAATTCCTTGATCCGTGTGTCTGTTGGACCTTGGTGGATGTGACACGCCCTTGGAGCTGCCAGCTCCCCAAAGTGGGGCAGAGCTCTGTAAATGAGCACTGCACTCACAGGGCAGTGGAAGTGTCTCTGGACTGGAGTTAACAACACTTTGCCAGAGGACAGCACCAGGATTAAACTTAAATTTAAACAGGGAAGAAGGAGGAAGAAGAAAAATAACCTTTTCCTTCTCTGTTGGCTTTGTCATTTAAATTTTTGCACTCTGAATGTTGCTGGAAATCTGACTTTTTTCACATTCTTTCCATTGAATAAAGTAATAAAAATTGACATTTAAGACAACATAACACGATATTCATATAACTCTGCATACACCTGTGAGATCTGTGTGTGCACACTGCATTTCTTGGATTTCTTTCTTTAGGAAGCTCATGTGAATAATTTTAATACCATGCAAATACATTTACGGCTTATCTTGCATTTCTTAGGTTCAACAGACACATGAGGCATCATTTCTGTTTATTCCACAACTGCTTTTTGAGTTTAAATATAAAGGAATTCCCAGCAGAGTCCCATGGATGTAAAGGGGAGCAGGAGTGTTACAATTCCACTCTGGAGTCAGAGCAGGTTCCTCCTGAGTGCAGAGCAGGAGGTGTTGAACAGTTGTAGAGAGTTTGTCCCCAGTGCAGTGGAAATGTCACCTCTGGTGCTGCCCTTGGAGCTTTGCTGTGTTGAAAAGTTGGGAACTGGAGCTGCTGGGCTGTGTCAGCAGCAGCCCCAGAGGTCGCCGGGCTGGGGGCCAGGCCTGTGCTGTGATCCAGCTAATCCTGTTGTGGTGCTTTATTAAATATTTGTAGAGAAGTGCAGCGTGTTTCATTAAAAAAGAAATCCCTGCAGGAAGCACAAGTCCTTGATTCCATTTGGAGTGGGGAACTCCATTTGCTGGTGCAGGGAATTATCCCTAATCCGCAGCACCCAACAAAAGGATGGATTTCATTTCTGAGAAGTGAACCCAAAGTTAGGGACACTCCAGGGATAGGAGGGAGATTGCCTTTAGGTTCCACTCAACAGTGGGGAAAAGTCTCTTAGGAGAAATATTAGGGGCTTACAGTGGCACGTTGTGGAAGTGTTCTGGAGCTAGGGATCCACATTCCGTGTCCCTGTGGGATGGGGTGAGACTTGTTTTGCTTTTGGGGGAAGGGTTTGAACATTTCTGTGTAGTTCCTGCTTATGTTGTATGAATTATGGGAATCCAGGGATCTAGGCAGGGACAACTGTAGGACAAGTGAGGAGAACTCTTTGCAGTGCAGCTCTTACAGATGTGGAATATCCTATTTAATGCTACAACCAGCTCAGGAACTTTTCTTTCATCACCAGAAAAGTGATGAAAAATTCTTTTCTGTGTAATTACTGTAATACCCACAAGTAAGGAATATGATGGAACTGCAAGTAGATGAATTTTTGGAGGAGAAGGATGGGATAAAACTGGGTGATGACTTGGGCAACATGGATCTGATACACAAACCATCCCAACCCCCTAAGCTTCAGCACAACTGTGCTGCCTTTTAAAGGGTGAATCTATTGGAATGTAACGTTAACATTCTGCTCTTGGAGCTCTTTGCTCTCTGCTGCACCCCAAAGTTTCATTGTGCTCGTTCCAACACACAGAAGTGCTTTGTTTGCCCTTCCTGCCTCCTGGTGTCCATGTCAGTGCCTTTCTTTGAGAGAAGCCTTGCCCTGCCTCCCTGTCCCTGCAGAGAGCCGTGTGCCCGAGGTGCCCAGCTCCCTGCACGTGCGGCCGCTGGTCACCAGCATCGTGGTGAGCTGGACCCCGCCCGAGAACCAGGACGTGGTGGTGAGGGGCTACGCCATCGGCTACGGCATCGGCAGCCCCCACGCCCAGACCATCAAGGTGGACTACAAGCAGAGATACTACACCATTGAGAACCTGGGTGAGTGCAGGGAGTGGGATCTGTGCCCCAGCTCAGCCTCCCTCTGCACTCCTGAAACAGCTTCCACGTGAGCAGCAGCCCGAGTTCGCTGTGCTCCGTGCGGAGCTGAGGGAGAAAAAGGGACTGAAATGTCACCAGCGTTCACTGGTGGCTCCTTTCAAAGGAAAATAAAGATTCACCCCTCCACAGAGCTCTCTGTGGGAGGTAAAACAGTCAGAGTGAGAGAAACAGCAATATTGGGAATTCTGTGAAATCAGGGGTTTGAGTCATTTTGGTTTTGTTCTTCTAAATTGTTTTTCTCACTCCTGATTTGGCTGTGCTTTAAGGTAGATTTACTGTAACTACAGACTTGAGCTGTGCTGTCCCTGCCCAGGCAGAGGGTGGAATGAGATGGGCTTTAAGGTCCCTTTCAGCCCAAACCAGTGTGGGATTCTGTGGCCATGAACAAAAGATCTGAGTGGAGACTTCCTCAGTTCAAACCACATATTCCAGCTCAAAATTATAAAATATGGAACAGAGAAGGTGTGGAGAAGCAGAATCCAGGATTCATTGGTTGTGCTGATTTCTTTTCCCCTTCAGATCCCAGCTCCCACTATGTGATAACCCTGAAAGCCTTCAACAACGTGGGGGAAGGGATCCCCCTGTACGAGAGCGCTGTGACCCGGCCCCACTCCGGTGAGTGCTGCCCTGCAGCTGGGATGGGCTGGGGCTGATGGCAGGGCCTGCCTGTCAGTCCATCCCCTGCTCGCTGTCCCTGTCACTGCTTGGCCTTGCACGTTCTGATAAACCACCTAAATTGGGCTCGTTTGTAAATTCCAAACTCACCTGACAACTACTAATGGATGTTCTTACTCCAGATGTTCCCCTTACTGAGCACAGCCCACGTGGGTGCAGCTCTAAAGGCCCTGAGCTGGGGTTTGTGGTCTTTCACTGAGATTTTTGAACATGATGCCTGTGTTTGCTTTGTGTCCCTCTGTTGTCACTCACACTAAACAAAATCTGGGCAGTTTTTATTTTGGCCTTGTAATCCATAAAGTGTTTAAGTAGAGAAGTGTGCAGGTGAGCTGTTGCCATGGCATGGCTCCCAGCCTGCTGACACCACCCAGGAATTTGGTGGAGGTGCAACACCTGGGGTTAGTCCTGGTGAGCTGGAATGGTTGGAGATTCTCCAGAGGATGCTGGAATTGCCGTTTCACCATTACTGCAAGTTGTTCTCTCACTGGAACCTTCCTTTGAAGGTGCCTTTTGGGACGTCCTTGTATGTTTGGGAAGTGGCATCTGCCCATCCAGAGCTCCAGCTCTGTGTCCTCCTCTTTGTTTTCTGGGAGAGGACTCAGTGGACACTCCATGCAAATGAAGTTACAGTGACTGAGTGTTTGGGGTTCCCAGGCCATGGCTGAGTGCCCTGGGCACTAATTAGAGCTATGCCAGCAGGGATTTGTTGTCTTACTGTCTGGAGGAGGGAGGACAATGCAAGAGTGATGTTATTGCCCAGTCTGATGTCACCTATTAACTCTGGCTTTTCTCTCTTTCTCTCCATTCCTCACCTTCCATCTCATTGCACTTCCCTGCATCCCCTTTTTTGTTTTGGTTGACATTAAAATGCCACCTCCTCCCTTTTTAATTATAAACCACGGCCTTTCCCCCATGGATTGCCCAGACACTTCCGAGGTTGATTTGTTTGTTATTAATGCTCCATACACTCCAGTGCCAGATCCGTCTCCCATGATGCCCCCGGTGGGAGTTCAGGCTTCCATCCTGAGCCATGACACCATCAGGATCACTTGGGCAGACAACTCCCTGCCCAAGAACCAGAAGATCACGGACGCGCGGTTCTACACCGTCCGCTGGAAAACCAACATCCCTGCCAACACCAAGTACAAGGTACTGAGTCCTGGGGAGCTGCCCAGCCCAGGCAGGGCAAGGACAGCTCTGGGAGCTCTGCTGGGCTCCTTGGAGGAGCAGGGTCCCTCCTGCCCCGCTCCCAGGGCAAGGCACAGCTCTGGCAGCTCTGCTGGGCTCCTTGGAGGAGCAGGGTCCCTCCTGCCCCGCTCCCAGGGCAAGGCACAGCTCTGGCAGCTCTGCTGGGCTCCTTGGAGGAGCAGGGTCCCTCCTGCCCCACTCCCAGGGCAAGGCACAGCTCTGGGAGCTCTGCTGGGCTCCTTGGAGGGGAAGGATTCCTCCAGCTCTACTGCCAGCTGAACACTCAGCTCTGGGAATGCTGCTGGGATGAGCCTTGGGGGCCTTGGAGCCAGGATTGCTCTGGGTCTGGTGGGAGCAGTTTTTGGTCTCTCCTGTGGGAAGGAGCTGGAGCTCTGGGTGTTGTGGCAGAGCTGCTCCAGGGAGGGAGCAGGAATTTCCAGAGCTCTGCTCTGTGGACATGGTGGTAGTTTGAAGCTTCCCCCTGCCCTGATCGCTGGGAGGCAGAGGTGTGGGTCCCCTCTGGAGAGTCACTGAAGTTGCAAGGGGTGTGTGACTGGGCCCCTCACTGAGCCATGCAGGGAGAACAGATTTACCCCCATGGTTTGGAGTTTCCTTTTAGAGCCTTTTCAGTTCCTCCAAAGCTAATAGTGAACTTTTCCTTTGGGAGCTAACTGGCTTCAAAATACACAACAAAAACTTTATTATATCCTTGCCTTCCTCCATTTTCTTGTGTTTTGATTTGGAGACTGGATTTGGGGTTTGGTTTGGTGGTTGGTTGGATTTTTTTATTAATTTTCAGTTACCTGGAGGGCTCAGAGCTGCTGACTGCAAATTTCACATTTGTAATGAGACTCAGAGGAACTGGTTGTTAAAATACCCAGCCAGTGGAGCTCCCTTTATGCTCCTGCAGAGCCAGCTTGTTGTAATCCAGATCTTTTCTTTATTGAAATGAAAAGATGTAAATATGTGTGTATTCCTCCTCTAAAGGGAAGTTACTTCTGAGCCACATTCCTGAGTCACATGCAGAAGATGTCTCAGGAGTTGTTTAAATAAAGCTGCAGTTTCATTAGCTAATAGCTTAAAAGAATGAAATAAAATAGAAGATGGAATAAAACAGTAAATTTACTATTCCTGCTGTACCAGTGCTGGTGGTCAGTGGGCAACAAGTTTTACTGTGACCAAAACCAACATGGAATGATGGAATATAATTTAAAATTACTGAAAAATGTAGAAAGGATTTGCCTGAAGGAGAGAAGTTTGTGGTATTTGCTCCAATCACATGTAACCCATGGTGTCTGGAGAACCCACATCCTGCTTTCCTTTCCTTGTTTCTGTTGGAAATGCTCTCCTGCCCTGTTGGATGTTTTTTGGGAGGTCAGAGCCCTTGCAGGGAGTGCTGGGTCAGTCAGGCTGAGAGCCTCCCTGCAGTGAGTGCAGTGCTTGTCCTGCCCCTCTGCATCCAGAGGCTTTGGTGTCCCCATTCGTGGGGACACAACTCCTGTATCCCCTCTGCAGCATCCAGAGCTGCATCTGCTCAGCCCAGCGGGGTTTCATTCTCCCTCATCCCTAAACTGGGTGCTGAGACTCTCCACTGAGATGTTCTGTTGCTGCCCTGTCCCAAGCTCCTGAGGAAGGAGCTGTCTGCTTCCTCCCTGAGGAGCCTTGTTTGTGCAGGGAACTGAGGAAAACAAGGATTTCAGTCCTCAGGGCAGGACTGTGCCAGTCTGAGCCTGGAAACCCAGGAACAGATGAGATGCAGCTCCTGTGCTTTGAGCTGTCTCTGCACTAAGGTGATTATTAAAACCCTGGGTGCTGAGAATTTTAGACTTTCCATGCTGCCAGACACTGACCCCTGAACACTACATTTAACCTGAAGCCATAGAAAAAAACTTCCAAAATTGAAGAACAGAACTAGAGTTATCAGTGGACAGTATAAATAGAAGTGTGGAATATCACATAGCAGAAACCTTAAAGTTTTAGAATATAGTAATATATATAAAGCAAGATAAAAGTTTTAGAACAGGAGCTAGTCCTTCTTTACCTTCTTCATGCATTTGAGTAGTATTGTGTAATTAGATAAAAAGTCAACATTGCCAGACACAATTAGTTAGTTATTAAGTTAAAAGTAGAAATAATTTGAGTATTATTTCTTAATTAGACTGTTTATGCTTAAATGACCTTATAAAGAGAGAAATAGAGCTCCATTTTTTACCTTATCAGTGAAGCACTGTAAAATTCACAACTATAAAACTGTACCAATGGAGCAGTTTCCCAAAGCCCCCTTGGTGTGTGGGGTTGTCCTGCAGCTGCCTGGGATCCATCAGGAATCAATGAAAATATTAAACATTGGATCTTTTAGGACTGCATAAAACAGAAACAAATTGTTCAGGGTAATATTTATGGAGTTTGTTTCTAGCAGGTGAGCAGGGTTTGGTACTGTGGGATAGACTGGAATTTTAAAAAGAATGAAGTGCTGTTAAATTGTGGGGTCTGACACTCCAGGGGGGCTCTGGAGTGTCATTTACCCTCAGTGGGATGCACAGGGAAACAAAAAGATCCCAGGATTCAAAGCCAGAGATGGAAACCAGAACTTTCACCTGTAAAAGGAGCCCAGCTGCCACATCAAATAATACAAATATTGGAGTACTTAAATACTGCTGGGAATTCCAGCATCCTGGAGAGGAAGAGCTTTTTGGGATAAAGCAGCTGGGAATGCCAGATGGGAGGGAAAGATTCCTGCCTTGGACTTGTCACTCCATCCCTCCCAGTGAGGTCTGCATTCCCCAGGGAGCTGTGCCCCTTCCAGCTGTGCCCCAGCCCCTCAGCCACATTCCCACCCACTCCAAACTGCACTGAGCCTCACCAAGGAGCGGTTTAAAGCCAATGGAGGGTTTAATTTTAATTCATTTTATGAGTCTTTGTTGTCTGGCCACAGACAGCAAAGCCCTGGGCACAAATCCCTGCCATCCCTTGGATCAGCATTTCCTGAACTTCCATCCCTTGGAAGAAAAAAGAAATGAAGATACTGGAGATCTCAGGGTTTCTTTGTCACTGCTGGAGCCTTCAGGAAAGGTGCCTTTACCTTGGCAATAAATCAGCTGCACTCAGTGGTTTCTGGAGGCAGTGGCTGTTGCAGTTGTTGTATGGCCCTGTCAGATCCTGGAACAACTCTTTAATTCTGTGTTTACACCACTGCAGGTCAAGGTGAGGAATATACATATCTGTAAATACAGCTTTCCCTCTTTTCCATGGCCTCCAGTACATTCTGTTCGTGCTGAAGCCATTGATAGCAAACACCAGATCTTTAGAAATGCTGAATTACAAATTCTGCTCTGACCCACATGTAGCTTCCTTGTGTGATCCTAAATAACCTTTTTTTTTTTCTGAAAAGAAGCTACATTTCAGTAAAGCTTCATTCTCTTCAACTCTCACTAGTGTGTCTTTAGTTGATTGTTTACTACATTTAAGGTTATTCTGGAAATTCCAGCAGGGATCTGGGAGGCAGCTCCAGGTTCCAAGCAGGACTGTTCCTTGCTGTGCTTTTTGTTTTCCCCAGCCAGAAGAGTTAATGAAATGCTGTAAACGAACCCCCAGGTAAACAGGGCTTTAACCACTGCAGAACAAGTGGGCCCTGGCCCTTGAATTGTCTTCTTTCTTTTCTAATTGACTGCTGCTAAGTGCTCCTGCTGATTGCAGCATTTCTAGTGGAGGATAAACGTTGATATTTGATTAATGAATTTGCACGCCAGAGAAGAACCAGCCCTAATTAATGACTGTGGTTATGGAAATGCTGGGAGCAGTGGGCTGGGCTGTGTGAGGGGGTGCTTTGGGAAGGGCTGACCCTGCTTTCCCTTGCAGACTGCAAATGCCACCACTCTGAGCTACCTGGTGACGGGGCTGAAGCCAAACACCCTCTACGAGTTCTCGGTGATGGTGACCAAGGGCAGGAGATCCAGCACCTGGAGCATGACAGCACATGGGACAACCTTTGAATTAGGTACTCCTGGGATATTCCCAAAGAAACCTCCACCTGAAATGGTTCTGCTGATTAACACTTGCTGGTGGTGGGGGGGTCTGAATAGTTCAGTCAAAAATTCTGATTAAAAAACAACAACATACTTGAAAATTGCAAGGGATGATTGCAGGAGAATTTACATCAAATTACAGAGAAGTCATGAATAATGTACCACACTTCATGGGCTGGAGAGAAGAAAGTCTCACAAAAAGCACCTCAACAGCAAATACAAAGAAAACACTTCAGCAAATAATAATTAAAATTTGCTGTAAATGTGATGATAATTATTACAGAGTGAGAAGGTGCATGAGGCAAATGAAGACAAAAAAATCACAGTAGGCATTAAGACATCCAAATGAGCTCTAAATTCCTGTTCAGTGCAGAACAGGGGAGGGTTTGAGGCTGCCAGGAACAACCCAGGCCCAGGGAGTGACTGTGAGGGCCAGGCCCTCTCCCTGACCTGCCCCTCATTAGCTCTTCTTACCCTGCAGTGTTAAATGAACTTTGGGCAATTAAATTTACTGCCTATTATGGGTAGGGTTCTCTTTAGATGGGCTGTGGAGGACAAGAAGCCCAGAGTCCAAATGAGCCCAGAGTTCTCCCTCTAAATGAAAATACAGCCAAAAAAATCAATCATGCAAAGAATTAGTGAGATTTTCCAGATAGTCTGTAATAGAAATATTTTAATTTCTGCTTAAGAAAAAGCAAACCCAGGAAAAAATCTGAACTCTCTGAACTTACTCTGAAGTCCCAGTGAGTTGCTTTTGAAAACATTGTCGAGGTTTTGGGTGGGAATTCCACAGTGTGGGGCCAGCTCTGGGCTGGGGCTCCTCTTCCATCCCACATTAAACACTCCATTTGGTGTTTCTGCTGACACAGGTTCAATCCTCAGCCATAACTCTGCTCTGAGTGCAGGGACTGTAAAAGCTGCACAAATAAAGGTTTTTAAAAGAGAATTTGACACAAAGCCCCTGAGCAAGGGCACAGTGCAGGAGGGCTCAGTGCATTTAAAGAGGAAAGCTCAGGTTGAAGTGGTTGTAAGGAATATTTGCAAACGTGACCCAAAAGCTGGGGAACTGAGGAGAAAATTTAAAACAGAAATTAAAAAAAAAAGGCTAAATATATGTTCTCATTACAGGTCTTCTGATATATAATACTGGCCAAATTCCAGAGTGAGTGGCTCATTAGTTTGGGATACTCCTGAGAAGTTGTATAGGATTTGCTCCTGTCAGGAAAATAAGGAATTCTGGGCTCTGTGTTGTCTGAGTATTCCTGATCTCCTGTGGGCTACTGCTGATTTTCTATTTTTGTTTCCTCTGAATCCTGTTTTTACAGGATATTTGGGGCAATAGTTGCAGTAACTCCTGGGCTTTGGCTGTCCCTGGTTTGCAGCTCTTCATCACAGGGATAATTGGTGGCCATCCCAGAGGATTTATGGATGGATTTCTAATAGGTCACCTACATAAACTTCTGGAAATGCAGAGAATGCAGTGATGCTGTGATTGTATTAAACAGCCAAGGTGGATTTGCTCTGGGTTGCCCCTTCAGGAGCCTCCTGGATTTCAGGATGTGGCATTGCAAGGATGCTCAGTGCCCTCTGGAGGCTTCAGCTCACAGCAAGGATTTCAGTTTTCTGCTGGAGCCATTTGTGCTGTTTCCTGAATTTTTGGCAGGAGAGGCTGATGGGAGAAGGAAAACTCTCCCCTCCTTTCTTTCCCTCAGTGCTGCTCTCTGGCACCCCAAGGAAAGAGGTTTTGTTCAGCAAATCCTTCTGCGTTTGAAGCCCTCTGGGGTGCAGATGCCTTCCAAATTACAAATCATTCCTCAGGAGCTCAACCAGCCGTTGCAGGTTTGCCCAGAGGTTGTTCCCCAGAGCAGCTGTGGCTGCCCCTGGATCCCTGGCAGTGCCCCAGGCCAGGCTGGATGGGGCTTGGAGCAGCCTGGGACAGTGGAAGGTGTCCCTGCCATGGCAGGGGGGGGCACTGGATGGGCTTTGAGGTCCATTCCCACCCAAAGCATTCCACGCTGGTATAATTCTGAGTTGCTGGGGGATTTACTTTGCTGATTGGGATTTAAGTGGCAAATGGGCACTTCTGGGTCTGAGTCCCACCATAAACCTGGAAACAGGGAGATACTTCAGCCTGTATAGATAGAGACATGTCTGCCTACATAGAATGTGTCTTTCACAAGTTTGGAGGACTTTTCTGACGACTGAAGAAATTCAGGTGAGAAGTCACTGGCCCCAGTTGTCCAGATTTTTGAGGATGCTCAGTCATGGGCTCACATCTGGTGCCAGAAGTGCTCTGGAAAGGGGGAACTCCATATGGGAGGGAGGCACTGACACTGATGGCATTGGCCAGTGAAGGGGCATTTCTAACAGTAAAGAGAATAACCCAAATATACATAATAACCCAATAAAATGAGAGGGATATCCAGGCCCTGAGCTGGTTGTCCCCTGGTGTGACAGAGCAGCCCTTGCTGACACTCTGGCTCTGTGTTCCAGTGCCAACCTCGCCCCCCAAGGACGTGACCGTGGTGAGCAAGGAGGGCAAGCCCCGCACCATCATCGTCAACTGGCAGCCGCCCTCCGAGGCCAACGGCAAAATCACAGGTGGGCACCAGGGCCTGGGGCTGCTCTGCCAGCCTCAGGGGCTCACAGTCACTGTTCACCTCTGTACCCCACCCAGCATGCTCACATCTAAACTGACTGCAGTGGGAAATGAAGTGACAGCAGACATGCAGCTGGAAGCATAAATATCTCCATAACCTTTGTGCTGTTCTAATAGCAGGCCTCCAGCAACGCCCCCAGTGCCTCTGGCCCATCAGAGGTTTATTTAGGAGAAGCCATCCCAGTGCTCTTTGTCATCTTTGTGGCATTTTTGTGCCACAGAACAGACTTCTGAGCAAGTTCCCTGTTCCCCTGACAGAACCATTAGGAGTAAACTGTTATTTGCCTTTAACTGCATCACTGCCACACAGGATAAATCACTTTCCAGAGAGCAATAATTACTGTTACCTTCTATAATTTCTGTTCAGATTCCCATTTGTGAGGGCTTTCTGAAATAATCCACTTCAATTGTAATTTTTAAAGCTGAAATCAGATTTGTGGTTTTGGGTTTGAGCTCAGGATTACCCATGGTGCAGAATCAAACCTGGGACACCTGACTGGGCAGAACTGGAGCCCAGGCTCTGCACAGGAGACTAAAACTGATTAAATCACTGAAAAGGCAGTGAAATGTTTCCTCTCCATGGGACTGGAGGATTGCCTGGAGACACAGGAGCCTTTGGTGGAGGGATTTGGCTGCCAGGAGGGGCAGAAATGTCTCACACTGGGGCACACCCAAGGGAGGGGAGAGAACTACAAAGAGCAGCATTTACCTGCACAGGGCTGGCAAAATTATCCCATTGCCCAGCTCCCAAATCCCCTGGCAGTGAAGGAAACCCTTAGAACAGAACTGTTCAGTATTTATCAGCTTTTACACAAGCAGCAGTTAACAGCTTAAAAATGAACTAAAAAGAACTAAAGGGCTAAGCCTGAGTGCAGCAGGCACCAGCTCCCCTCTCCCAAACCCCATCTCCAGCTCCCCTCTCCCAAACCCCATCTCCAGCTCCCCTCTCCCAAACCCCATCTCCAGCTCCCCTCTCCCAAACCCCATCTCCAGCTCCCCTCTCCCAAACCCCATCTCCAGCTCCCCTCTCCCAAACCCCATCTCCAGCTCCCCTCTCCCAAACCCCATCTCCAGCTCCCCTCTCCCAAACCCCATCTCCAGCTCCCCTCTCCCAAACCCCATCTCCAGCTCCCCTTTCTCAGAGCCCAAGCAGTTTTTGGGATGTGGGGCCCGAGTGCCCTCTGCTGGGAGCAGCCCCATCAGCCGAGGCACTAATTAATTACTCATTAACCCACTCTGTGCACTCAGTGCTGCCAGAATTCCGAGTGCTGATGTCATTCCATGGCCCACTGTCCATGGAGTGCTGAGCTGGGCCACTCTGGGTCCTGCATGCTTGGGCATCGTTAGAGCTGCTGACTAATTAGGGCAGTTGGAAATTAACTCAGTGCTTGTGCCTCTAGACTGTTATAATGCTTTTAGCATCACTTCATGGATATATTTTTTATATATAGATATAAAATATATTATTATATATAGATTAATTAGATTATTATATAGTTTAGATTATTTAGATTAAATTCTTATATATATGTATGTATATAATATATATAGAGAATATATATATCCTCTACAAATCCATTTCCCACATTTAGATATCTTACAGATGTAGAGAGATATAGATATACAACAGATATATATATATAAAACAGATATATAGTAATATAAAATTTGTATTTCCATATATGTTACATAGAAAATAAATACTTGAAGCTAGATGTAGATATAAATAGTGATACAAATATATAAATAATTTATGAAAATACATAATGTATATTGTGTTATATACAATATATATTAAATACAGATTCAGGTATTTATTTCTGTGTGTATATAAATATATAGAGGTTCAAGTATTTATTTTATGCTGATCTGTGTTTCTTGTGTAAAACAGTTATAAAGTTTTTACTGCATAATGATTGGTGGCTTCACTGTATTTTAATAACATAAACCCTTCCCATACCTTTTTTCTGAGATGTGCAGGGCAGCCTCAGTTCTCTTCAGATTCTTGTTGCCTTTGTTAATACATTGAAGAATAATGAATAATACTCTGAAAAATAATAAAATAATAATGAACTAATGGAATAATAATAATAATACTTTGTTAATCCACTGAAAAATAATGAAAAACAAGTCATGCTGATCTGTGTTTCTTGTGTAAAACAGTTATAAAGTTTTTACTGCATAATGATTGGTGGCTTCACTGTATTTTAATAACATAAACCCTTCCCATACCTTTTTTCTGAGATGTGCAGGGCAGCCTCAGTTCTCTTCAGATTCTTGTTGCCTTTGTTAATACATTGAAGAATAATGAATAATACTCTGAAAAATAATAAAATAATAATGAACTAATGGAATAATAATAATACTTTGTTAATACACTGAAAAATAATGAAAAACAAGTAGTTTCGCTGTGCATGAGAATGTTTTGTTGTTTTAACATAATTTAAATAATGTTGATTCTTTGAGGATGTTTTGATAATGGCAGCTTTACTTTATTTCATTTCTCTGTGAATAGGTAGAGCTGGAAACAGCACTTTGTCCACGTTCAGGGAATGGTGATCCGAAATAACCTTGATATTTGAAATGGCTTTTTTCTCTTACCACCTACCTTGAACAGTTCAGAGGGCAGATGGGAGGGCAGGCTGATATCTGAAGGTGGTTTCAGTGTTTGCCAGAGTCAGAGCACACTTGGGACAGCACACAGCATTTCCCTGTCCCTGACGGTGGCACTGTCCCCTGTGTGCCCAGGCTACATCATCTACTACAGCACGGACGTCAACGCCGAGATCCACGACTGGGTGATCGAGCCCGTGGTGGGCAACAGGCTGACCCACCAGATCCAGGAGCTCACCCTGGACACCCCCTACTTCTTCAAGATCCAGGCCCGCAACTCCAAGGGCATGGGGCCCATGTCTGAGGCCGTGCAGTTCCGCACCCCCAAAGGTACCCCAGACCCCAGGGAGGGGCTGTGCTCCTGGGAGAGGCAGCACTGGGCTCTGCAGGGACCTTGGGGCTGGCATGGAGTGCCTGTGGCTGGAGCTCAGCTCTGGGGATCACTGGCTGTCCCACAGAGCCTGGGGCTTTGGGCTGCTCTGTTCTTACAGAGCAGGGTTGGCTGCAGTGGCAGGGCAGGTGCTGTGTGTCACATCTGCTCCTGGGGTGGGATGGTGCAGTGGGAACTCGTGGGATGCAACAGGCCCCCAGTTCAGGAGCTGATGGTGATGGGCAAAGATAGTAAAGAGTAAAAATGGGACAGAGCTTGGGAAAAATAGAATTATGAGTTTGTTATAGAATGCTGTCACAGAATTGGGTTGGGAGGGAGCTTACAGCCCATCCTTGGGCAGGGACATCTCCACCAGCCCAGGTTGCTCCAAGCCCTGTCCAGGCTGGCCTTGGACACTTCTCCACGTGAGTTTCAAGAGCTGTACCCTGTGCTGTGGGAAACTTGGAATTCTGTGTCACTCCTTCAATCCTTGTGATGTGTCTCTTGTTTTTTCCTCCCTGTGCTTGCCCCACTAAGCTGAATCCTCAGATAAAATGCCCAATGACCAAGGTAAATGAACAGCCACATTTCTCCTCTCTCCATCCCTCACTGTTCTGTTTGCTGTCCATGTGCTGTGACATTTTCTAAGTGGAGCAGGATCCTGCTGTGCTGACAGGGAGAGCTGAAAGTCCTGGCCGTGGGTGGCAGGAATGTGAAGGGATCTCTCTAGAGATGTCCCAGAAGGGCCATGGGGGTTGTGCCAGCTCTGAATCCTGCTGGGGGAATGGCTGTGGAGCCAGTGCTGCCCCATCCAGCCCTGCCCACGTATGAGGGGGTGGAAGATCAAAGGGTTCTGGTTAGCACAAGTGCTGCTTGTGAGGATTCATTCCATAATAAAGGCAGGGAAGCCCTGGAAAGCTCTGTGCAGGAAAGATTCTGCCTGTCAGCTCATTTGGAGCCCAGACTCTCCTGAGGAGCCCAGCACTGGCTCCTAAAAGCCTTAAGCTTTTAAAATGTTTGCTTGAAAAATGGGAGCTTTGAGCTTCCCACATCGAATTAGAAGGTGGATGTCCCAGGGCACTTCTTGCTTTCTTCCAAATAACCTACAAGCCCCATAAAAAAGGGAGAATTAGTCTGAAGGGATGAGTTAAAGAGGCCATTGGCAAACAGCTTAGACATGCAATTAAAGAGATCCTAAAGGGGCTCTGAGGGAGCTGCTCCTCACTTGGCTCCTCATCTTGGTACTTGGAGTAATTTATTAAATGTGCTTGTACTCTGCACCAGGTAATGCTGGTAGCAGGGACAGTCAGGGAGTGAATTGCTCCCCATCCCTGTGTCCTGGAGGTGGGGCTGGGGTTTGGGCTGTCTGGGGAGCAGATGCTCCAATGTCATTGTCCTGCTCACCTGCAGCAGCAGGGAATGGGGGAAGGTTACAGGGTTTTAGGTGAAAGTTGCTGTTTTCTGCTTCTCCCTGTTCCAACCCCATTTCAGCTGGTGTTACATCCTAAAGTAACAAGTTCTCCTAGTCATGATCAATTTTTATCACATCCTATTATTTATAAATCATCAAAGCCCGGAGTTTTGTTAGAGAATTCCTATAAGGACTCTGGGAGAGCTGGAATGGTGGCAGCAGCTGGAATGTGGGAAAGGGGAAGGCAGAGGAAGTGCAGGAGAGGAGCTGAGGAGCTGCCCCGAGCTGCCAGGCTGGGACCTGCAGGAAAGAACCTGCCAGTTACTCAGGCTGGCAGCAAAACCAAAGGGGATTGATGCTCTGCCCTGAGTGGTTCTGTCCTTTTCTCTCTTTGTCTGCTTTAATGTTTCCCTCTGAACTCAGCACAGGATTCTGTTTTCCCACCCCCTTGTGGAGCACAGAGCTTGGGCAGAGCTCAGGGCCTGTTGCTCTCAGGCTTCAGGTGCTTGCACTGGCCTTGTCCTGAAGCAAAGATTAAGGTCTCTGATTGAGTTACCCCATCCTGAAGTCACCCACAGTTAAAATGTTCTGTCTGGATATATTGTAACATGGAGGTTCACAGCTGAATGAAAAACAATTCCAGCAAATGCTGTCTTAAACTGTCCCTTGAAACAGGTCACACTGCCTAAGAGATGGGGCTGCCTGGAATTTAAATGTTTAAACTGTTCATCTGTGGGTTTAGGAATTGGATCCTTGGCTGGGTACCTAAATTTCATCCTAAATTCATCAGGGAGGACATGGGTTCCATGAGGATCACTGTGCCTTGCCTCTCTCTCTCAGCCCTGATTTGATGTCCCTTGCTGACCTCAGGGCAGTTGTTCCCTTCTCCTTCACATTATTCAGGACACTGAGCTGCACTTGGCCAAGCACAGGTCCTTGCAGAGCTCACTGGAAGCATTCCTCATGGATAATTCTCATTCTTCTCAGTTAATTTGTTGTTAATCTTATTAATAGGCTCCACATGTTTTTTTTTTATGGTGCTATTTTAACAAAGCATTGCACAGCACTGTCAGATATTTCCTGGAAGCCTAAATGCAGTATATTTTATATATTTCTCATTATGTATCTGCATAGTTACTGTTACCAGCCACGTTTATGGGCTGACATTCAGCTTCTTGAAGACACTTGTTTTCCATAAACCAGGAAGATGGATGTGAAGTGTGTGCCATCTCCTCTCCATCCCCTTTTCCATCATCTCACCTGCTTTAGGGCTCTAGCTGCTACACTGGAAATGCTCAGGGTGTCTGACTGCCCTCCCTAAATGTTGCTGGCTCTTCATGTCCCCCTGTCCCACAGCTTCTCTGCTGGAGCAGCTGCCCAGCAGCAGGCTCAGGGTTCTGAGTCCATCTGGGGCTTCCCACCTTGCCAGGGCAGCTTAAGTGGCCACAGACACAAATCATTAACAGAAGCAGTGTAAGGCTGCTCCAGTCTCTCTCTGCTGCTGCAGGATTATTGGTCCCCACAAAGGGACCCCTGGTGCTGTGTCCTGTCCATCCTGGCAGGTCCCTGGGTCCTTTTCCATGTCCCACTGTCCCAAAGTGCTGCCTTTCCCTCACTGCACACACAGAACCTTCTCCTTTTCCCCTCCCCAGCTTCAGCCACTGCCCCTGCCTGGTTTTGCCATTTGTCTTTATTTCAGGGACCAGTTCACATGCTCTCACTTGAGGTTCAGTTTCCATTTGTTACACATCCTTTAACACTTCGTACTTCTTGATTAAAGGGGATTTTTAACAGAAAAAATCCTTCTCCTGACTGTTCTCCTCCACACCGCCTCGCTTTCTGGAGGTATTTTCTTTGTAGAACAGTGTGAAAATGTGTCAAATACTCTGGATTCCTGTAACCAGGGGAATATTGCTCTTTGCACCATTGCTGAATGCTTCCCCTACTCCAGTGTTTTTGTCATTAATTTTGCATTGGAGCATTTGGATGAAAACAGAGTGGAAGGACCAGGTTTGGATGTAACTAATTTGTTGTTCCCTCAGGTTTCATCAAAACCACTTTTGTGGTGCTTTGTTGTCACCTGTGGTGTGCAGGGGAGAACAGGGAGGAGCTGAAAGCAAGTTTTTATGGCTAGGCAGGGCCTTAATATTACATTTACTATGCTTGGGATCCTGCACACATTTCCAGTCTCCCCCAGCTGCTGGAACTGGGTGTTAGGAAAAGACACCTGGATAATTCCTGTTCCAGGGTGAGGAACTCTCAGTACAAGTGTGGCAAAACCATTTGCCTCAACATGTACCTGTGCCTTACTGCAAATGGGCTTTATTGTTGTTTTTAAAGTGAAATTAGGAGAGGCTTAATTAGGAAAATAATAACTGGGAAACCATTGAAGAGCTCCTTTGGAGAAGTGGCTCTTTCCTTGGAGAAGCAGGTGCTGTGCAAAGCCAAATTTTGTTGTAGGGACAGAAAAGGAAGGAAAAAGCTGCTCCTGGGGCCTTGGGGAGGTTCTAAAGAAGGACTCAGAGGTGCTGATTGTGTCTGTGTGTGTAAAATTCCTGTGTCCAACCTTTGCAGCCTCGGGATCTGCTGGGAAGGGGAGCCGCCCCATGGACCTGGGCCCAGACTACAAACCCCCGCTGGGAGGTGAGTGTGGGGCAGAGCTTCTCCATGGCCACACTGTGCTTCCAGTTTGGGTCAGCCAGGGAATGTTCCAGCAGCAGTTCAGAGCTGTTCCTGCTGCTGCTGAGCTCCCATGGCATTTCCAGAAGCAGAGCTGCTCCCAGCGTGGTGTGACATGGCTGCTGGGGTGGGACATCGATTCTGTAGGGCCACATGAGGAAGGAAAAGCCTCCTGTGCTCCTTCTCCTGCTCAGTGCTGTGTGGTGGGATTTCCTGTCCTCAGGGAATGCTCCCTGGTGTTGATAAAGGGTTTCCTTTGGAGCCAAGTGACCCCTGGAGGCTCCTGCTCCAATTCCAGTGGCTCCAAGGGGGGCCTGTGGTGCTCCAGGTTTAGCAGGATCCCAGACTGACTCTGCTTAGAGTGGGGAGGTTTTTGTGATAATTAATTAGGCTGAACTTAAATTGTGATAGACTCAGTAGGAAATGGGTCTAAATCAACTTCCAGATGAGCACTTGTACAGTAACAGTTGGCAAATGCCAGAGAAACAAACATTTCTCAGGAGATCATCCCCTCCTGCTGATCTGCAGGATTCCAGGTGTCTTTGGTGGGCACTGCTTGCTTTTCCTGTGTAATAAATGAGTCTTTTCTCCCTTCCCCAACCCTCCCAGGCAGTAACAGTCCCCACGGCAGCCCCACATCCCCCCTGGACAGCAACATGCTGCTGGTGATCATCGTGTCCGTGGGCGTCATCACCATCGTCATCGTCGTCATCGTCGCCGTCTTCTGCACGCGCCGCACCACGTCCCACCAGAAAAAGTAACTGGGGGCTGGGCCCTGCCTGCCTTACTGAGTCCTGTTGTTTCATTCTTCATTTGGGGTTTATTCCCTGTCAGCCCTGCAGCCTGTAGGTGCTGCTGCTGCTCTGCTTTTCCTGTCAGTGTCCCAGAGTTCCAGTTCACACACAAATCGGGGCGGTGCTTCCAGGTGTGCCTGCACTTCCCCCCTCCCAGGAGAAATTGTTCCTCACAAGTTTCCAAAGTGGAGCTAATCCATGTGTGGGGAGCTGGGAGAGCTCAAGAGCTCAGGCAGCTCCTCCCTCTTGCATGGGTGGGCTCAGTGCATTGACATTATCCAGTTTTTAGTGGGATCACTGGAGGGGAATCTGAATGTGCTGCTGGATTCCTTAGACAAGTGCTCCAACGTCCTGGTGTTTGTATCTGAATGCTTCCCTCAGAGCGTCTGCATTAATGCTGCAGCAGTGAGGCTCCTGCAGGGTCTCTCTGTGTGTTCTTTGAAAGACCAGAGTTGTATCTGGAGTTTGAAAAGATGCTGTTATGCAAAACAGATTTTTAAGGAAGTGATGAAAAGCCAGGCTTGGATAATCTGCAGTTGCTCTGCTGCAGCAGGACCACCCTGCAGAAGAGCAGGAGAGGCAGCAGGGATGGAGGAGCTGGCCCTGGCACACCTGGCAGCCGGGGCTGTGCTTGGGAGGGCAGCAGGGATGGGCCAGTGTCAGGAGTGTGCTTTATTGTCAGGGCAGAAATAACCCTGTGACATCTCAGTTTCTGAGTGCCCTCAGCCAGGGAATAACCTGATCCCTGTCACTCATCAGCTCCAGTGGGAGCAGGATTTGGGAGTGACCCTGCCAGAGGCTCTGTCAGTGACATTTACCAATGTCTGAGCCATTCCCAGGAACTCTGCCCCCAAAGACCCCTCCTCCAGCTTTGCCATGGCCCAAAGTGAGGAGTCAGTGTGGCAGGAGTGCTGAAACCTACATTTTGCTGTCACAAAATGCTGCCATCCCAAATCTCTGCCTCACTGTGCTTTGCTGCTGCTCTCAGCAGAGTGGGAACCTCCCCAGTGGGAGTGTCCAGCCTGAGCAGGGCTGGAAGGAACATTCCTGTCATTAATCCTGTGTTCCCATCCTCTTGGGAGCACTGCACCTCCTTCTCCAGCTGCTGCTGGAGCTTGGTGAGCCTGGGATATGGGCACAGCATTGGAATATTCTCTCAACGAGCAGAATTTCTGCAAACTTCATTCTTGGTAACGAAGGCTGGGCTGCACACGGGGTGCATTCCATGGCACCGGAGTTCAGGATGGGCTCTGAGGTGTCCCTGGGGCTTGTGTGCAAAATTCAAAGCTCCCTGCCCAGTGGGAAACTTGTGTCCAGCTGGGTGCCTGAGGGGGATGCCAGGGAAAGTTGCCTTTTCCACAAGTGAAGAACATCTCCTTTGCTCTCTTGCCAGGAAACGAGCCGCCTGCAAATCCGTGAACGGCTCCCACAAGTACAAGGGCAACTCCAAAGATGTCAAACCTCCAGACCTTTGGATCCATCACGAGAGGCTGGAGCTCAAACCCATTGATAAATCCCCAGATCCCAATCCCATCATGACAGACACCCCGATCCCTCGCAACTCCCAGGACATCACCCCGGTGGACAACTCCATGGACAGCAATATCCATCAAAGGCGGAATTCCTACCGAGGTGGGAGCCCGTGGGGTGAAACACATCTCCTGGGGCTGTGACATCACTTTATTGACAGATGATGAAGTTACTCTTCTCTGTTCTTGTTTTCCAAGTAGTGAATTGGGTTTATTCCTGGTTTCTGAGACTCTGGAAAGGCTGGATCTCATGTTTTAGTGAGGAAATGGAGCATCCAAGAGTTAGATCATTGCTTTCTCTTGGTAAATACTGATTGGTAATGGGAAGATCGTCTCACTTCATATTAAACCACTGACCTTTCAGCCCAGAGCTCAGTCACTGCCAGAAGTTTGCACTGGGGCCTGGAGAGTTTCTCCAGTTCCCAAAATGCTCACCCTCACTGTCTTCTTCCCACCTTCCAGTGAAGGGGGAGGGGCTGGTTTTGTCACTGGTGGCTCCAAGAGCTGCCTGGGAGCAGGACTAGAGGGAGGATGTGGGAATGCTGCCCTGGTTCAGGAGCTGGAGCAGAGCAGTAACGTGGCTGTTTCCCCTCAGGACACGAGTCAGAGGACAGCATGTCCACGCTGGCAGGAAGGAGGGGCATGAGGCCCAAGATGATGATGCCTTTTGATTCTCAGCCACCTCAGCGTAAGTGAACACCCCCATTCCTGCTGGAGCCACTCCCTGCTCCCAGGAAATCCCTTCGTGGGCAGCAGGAGCAGCTCAGGGGAGGCTCCTGAGCCCTCCTGGTGTGGGCAGGGTGAGGCCACGTTAGAAGGGCCTGGATGTGGCTGTACTGGGGTGAGGGCAGGAGCATGGCCAGACCTGTCTGTCCCAGTCTGGGGCTCTCCAGGGACAGTCTGTGGGCCTGGCTGCTTCTTGTAGTCATTCCCTTGGAACTCTGCCAGTGTCCAGCTGCTCCATGGGAGCTGCAGAGAGCTGGAATCTCTGTCAGGTTCCCCACTGCTGGTTTTCCCCTCCCAGGCCAAGCAGTCATCATCCCCTTTATCTCTGCAGTTGCTGCTCTCAGAGCCTTCTCTGACTACTCTGAGCTCCTTGAGACCTCTTTGCCCTGGGATTCTTCTCTGATACCAAAATTACCATTATTATGAAATATTTTTGGAATTAAACAATATATCTAGAGTTTTCAAATGGCTGCAAGATGCAAAGGAACTTGGCTGAACCTCTGAACAGCCAGACTGAAAGCCTGTGTGAGAACCCCAGTGAGAAGCTCAGGAGTTACTGTGCAGGGGCAGAACTGGGAGGTAAAATCACACCAAGCTCACCCAGGCTGAGCTTTAGACCTCCTGAGCTCTGTGATCATGTTCCTCCTGTAGCCAGGTGACTGCTGCCACAACCCCTCCATCTTATGGAATTATTTCAGAGTAGTTCATTACACTTCCACTTTCTTTTTACTCTAATTTAAAACTGAGCTGAGGACTTGGTGTTCTCGATCTCTGCCTACTTTTTCAAGTGTCCTGATGACCTGATTGCTCAGTTTGTGAATCTTCTTGTTCTATGACCTTTTTCCAAGAGTAGCATCTGGTTTCTTGGTTTGGCACTAAGTAGTGTGATGTCCTTCTTGTCTCCCAGCTTTCCATGTGTGAGGAGCAGAGGATGCAGTTTGACACTAAATTCCTTGGAGCTGGTCTGTGTCAAACATGGCAGTGTGACAGGTGCCTATCCCATGCCAGGCTCTGCACCAGCTCCTGCCTTGCCTGGGGGCACAGACCAGGCCCAGGCCCTGCTGGAGCTTGGCTTTGAGACTTGGACTCTCCATCCTGTTTGTGAGAGCTCCAAGGGCCTCCTGCCACAGGCTCTGGTTAGTGGGAGTGGAACTTCCACTGTGGGGCCTGCAGGTGCCCTGGCAGGAGCTCAGCCTGGCACGTGAGGCCCTTTCTCGGTGAGCCCCACCAGGACCATTCCATGTCCACCTCTGGGCCTGCACAACCTTCCATGGCTTTCTTCCACCCAGATGGAGTTATTAATCACCTCCTAAGTACTGAATTATGGTCATTCACTGTGTCATTTTGCAGTCATGGTGTGTACCTAGTGACTTCCTTCTTGGCCTCCTGGAGTACAGAAGCTCTGGAAGGATGTTGGGAAGCAAAGGGCTGTTTATTGTTTAACACACCTCATTTCATAGTATATCAGTATATGTGGATAACAGATCTGTATTCTCTTGATTCTTCTTCTGAACTTTTCCTTGGAATCAAGCAGTGCATTAAGAGCTGGTGGCAGCTTTTGGAGCTGTAATTGGGTGGTTTTTTTTGTCCTAAGCATGTTTGAGGTGTGATAACCCAGGGGTTGAAGCTGGGTTGTAAATCAGCCGAGGGTCCGGCTCCCTGCTGGAGGAGGGAGCAGGGAGGGGAGTCCCCAGCCTGTCCTGTGTGTGTGTGTGTTAAGTGTTTCTCTGTCTTGTGTTCATCCACAGCTGTGATTAGTGCTCATCCCATCCATTCCCTCGACCCCCCTCACCACCATTTCCACTCCGGCAGCCTCGCCTCTCCAACCCGCAGCTTCCTGCACCACCAGCTCAGCCCGTGGCCCCTGGGCTCTGCCATGTCCCATTCGGACAGGGCCGACTCCACAGGTGAGACACCAACCCTCAGGGAGCTGCTGCTTTGTGCAGCAGTCAGGGAAACTCCTGGAAGTCAGAGCCTGGAGCTGGGTCAGTCTCCTCTGGGGGTTCCATCAGGATGGGCTGGGCTTTCCTGGGTAGGTCAGATATTGATCCTTGACATCCGTGGTGGTGTCCTTGGAAAAGGGGGTTTCATGTTTTATACACAGCTCCAGACAGGGATTCCTCCTGCTAAAGCCTCTGCCTCTGGAGTCTGAAACATCAGATTAACTCTGAGCTGCTTCATGGGGTAACTTTTCCTCTAATTAATACAATTAGAAACCAGCAGGGAAGGAAAGTCCAGGCTTGGCTACCGAGAATGGGGGCACACAGAGAATGGGGGTGATTTCCATGCAGCACTTGCAGGCTTGATCAGAATCATTTGCAGCAGTTTTAGAGAGCGCTGAAGTCTCCAGTGCTCTGAAAAATCCCAAAGCAATGGTGCTAAATGTGCACATGGGTAACATACTGGGATGAAGCAAACTCTGAGCTTCTCTGTCACCATTTGAAGGTATCACAGCAAAATGTTGTTTCCTTATGAAAACAGTTCCTGAGGCTGCAAGGTCCATTCCAGCCCAAACCATTCCATGAGTCTCAGTAACGATGGATTTCAAGTGTGGCTCCTCTGTGACCACCCCAGTGCTGTGAGTTCCTAGTTAAAAATGCCAATACTTTGGTACTGTGGGGTAAAAGGAGGCTGCAGATCCGTGTTCTGTGCTGTTTGTCCGAGGACTGGAACACGGAGCTCTTTCAGTGCCAGAGCGTGAAGAGCTGGAATCTCTCAGCTCATTTAGCTCCCATTCAGCCGGCGGTCCCCTCGGAGCTGGCCAGGGGGTCATTCCTGCCCAGCCAGCCCTGGCAGGAGGAGCTGTGCCCCGAGCAGCCCCGGCAGGCAGGAATGACCCCTGCTGTCGCTGTGCGTGCCTTGCAGAGTCCGTCCGGAACACGCCCAGCACGGACACGATGCCGGCGGCCTCGGCCGTGCCCAGCGCGGAGCTGCCCGAGGCCGAGGGGCCGTTCCTGCCCGCGGAGGAGGAGCCCCAGGGCCCCCCCACGGCCCACGTGCGCCCCTCGCACCCCCTCAAGAGCTTCGCCGTGCCCGCCGTGCCCAACGCCGGGGGCCCCTTCGACCCTGCCCTGCCCAGCACCCCCCTGCTGACCCAGCAAGGTGAGGGAGCCAAGAGCCAGGAAACGGGGATTTGGGGAGCAAAGGGAGCGCGGGGTTGGGCATCAGAGGAAAGATGGCAGAGGCTGGGGAGACTTTTGTTGGTGTCATTTTCTGTACGTAGATAAGACAATTCAAATCCAACACTCCATAATTGAAGTGTTCCTTTTCTCCTGATAGAAGCCTGTTCCTTCATGGGATCATTTTGGGTACATGGGGAGCTTTAAAGCTCATCCAGTCCCAGCCCCTGCCATGGGCAGGGACACCTTCCACTGTCCCAGGGTGCTCCAAGCCCTGTCCAGCCTGGCCTTGGGCACTGCCAGGGATCCAGGGGCAGCCACAGCTGCTCTGGGCACCCTGTGCCAGGGCCTGCCCACCCTCCCAGCCAGGAACTCCTTCCCAATATCCCATCCATCCCTGGCTGTGGAAACCATTTCCCCCTGTCCTTAACTGTGCTCCTTCCAGGAGCTTCCTGAGCAGGCAGGACCCGAGCCTGACCGTGTCCCCAACTCTTTGCAGCCCCTGGGCACCCCCTGCACGCGGTGAAGACGGCGTCCATCGGCACCTTGGGCAGGACTCGGCCGCCCATGCCCGTGGTGGTGCCCAGCGCCCCCGAGGTGCAGGAGACCACGCGGATGCTGGAGGACTCGGAGAGCGTAGGTACCCCCTGCCAGGCTGGCAGGGCTCCCCCCTGGGGCTCTGTGGGCATCTTGCACCGGGCACCTACAAGGGCACAGGGGCTCGGTGCTCCCACAGCTCCGCTGCTCGGGAATGCGCATGGAAAATGGGGGGAGACACCTGCAGGGAGGTCCTGATGAGTCCTGCAGCTGCAGCTTCCCCAGCTCTGCAGGGCATTCCCTGTGCCAGTGCCATCCCCAGCTCTGCAGGGCATTCCCATCTGCAGATGATGTGTTGGGCAGAGGGCTGGGATGACTTTGCAGTACAAGGCACAGCTTTGGTAAAGTGGAAGTTCTTGGCTGTTGACACGAAGGAGGAAGTTTGTGTGTGAGCCCAGGTCATGGCTGGAAACTGCTCAGAACTGGGAAGGATTGGTCAGGAGGAGTTTGGAGATGAGCCAGACCACGGTGTCTGTCCACAGCAGTGACAGAAATGAGACAGCTGAGCCTAAAAATGTGTGGGTTTAGCAGCTATCCTAATCCCAAAACAGCCTTGTTGGAGTATTCCTTTGACCTTTTTCCCTGTTAAACTGGGAAGATCCTTCTCAACTTCCTGCTTTGGTTCAAAGGCAGGGATTGAGACAGGACAACAGGGCTTGACCAGTGCAGCTCTGAACCACAACTGCCCTAGAGCTGCACTTGGAAACAGAGATCAGCTCCCCCCCCACGGCAGGGGGCAGGAGCTGAGCTTTTCCCACCCTAACCAGGCTGGGATTCACAAGGAATCACTGGGGTGGGAAAAGAGCTCCCAGACCAGAGTCCAGCCTGTGCCCAGACCCCGCCTTGTGCTGATTGCTGAGTGGGGTCAGGAGTGCCCCAGCAGTGCCCATTGCTGGGCTCCTGCTCAGCCCCAGCCCCGTGTGAGTGCCCCTCTCCCTGCAGAGCTACGAGCCGGACGAGCTGACCAAAGAAATGGCGCACCTGGAGGGACTCATGAAGGACCTGAACGCCATCACCACGGCCTGAGCGCCGCCGCCCGCCTCCGACTCGGCCGGAACACGAGGAGCTGAACAGTGGAAAAACTAAAGGAAAAAAAGAGAAAAAAAAAATAAACAAACCAGAAAGAGGGACAGCACATGAGAGCAGTGGAGGGAGGAGGAGAGGAAGCAGCCCCGGGTGACCCCGGTGTCACCCCTTGTCCTGCAGGGAGCCACGCGGGGTTCCGGCAGCACCAGCGGGATGGGCCACGCCAGCCAGGCTGGGATCCAGCAGGACAAGAGCAAAGCAAAGTGGACTCGCCATTAGTTTTTTTCTGGTCAGGTTTTGTCTCAGTGGTGTGATTGCCCTGCCTTTTCAGTGTTGGACATTGGCATTTATGTACAATTTTATTTGTGTTTTTATTTTATCTTTTTTTATAAAAAGGAAAAAAATATTGTAATTAAAAAAAAAAAAAGGGAGAAAATGTTGTTTTCCGCAGCCTAGGCTGAGGTTTGACTGCTTGTTCTATTGTGTATGAAAATTCATTGCCAGTGTGGGTTGTTCTGTTTTGTTTTTTATTCTGCGTATAATTACGTCCCCTTCTGGCAGTTAATCCATGGCCTTTTGGGATGCTGCACTGCTCTTTGTAAGCTTTTTTATTATTTTTATATTATAATTATTAAAAGCCTGACTTTCTCCTCTCATCACTGTGAGATTCCCGGTCTGTTTGAGTTGAGGTGTAATTGGAGAGCCTTGTTTGTCGCTTTTTGTGCAGTTTAATATTTTGAGTGGGGGGAGAAGTAGCTGGGGAAGGGGAGGTTATCCTGGGGAGGGTTCATTCCTGTTGTTTTCCTGTCTTTTTCCAGTGACTGGGAAGACTGAAGAACAAGGAAACATCTTCAGCTGTACTGTGTGTCTGGTCACTGGGCGCAGGAAGAGGCTCCTTTAGGAACATGCAGAGAATTCCTCCTGGGAATTGGGGTTCTCCTGCCTAGGTGACCCTACAGGAAGCTTCTTTTGGCAGCTGTTTTGTTGTTGTTGGTTTAAAGATGGATCAGGAGCCTTGGAAGTGCAGAGTGAGAGCTCAGCAAGGCTGCAGGGCTGGGCTCAGAGAACTTGAGGATTTTCTCATTCCCAGCAGCCCAGATCCTGCCTGGAGAGCACTGAGTGTCCTGCAGGTCCTGTCCCAGACCATCCCAACAGGAATCCTGCTCTGAAGGGTTCCTCGGACACAAACCAAGGCAAAAATTTGTATTTTTTTACACTTTGGAAACCATGTAAAAATAACCCCAGTATTGGTGAGCCAGGTGCTGTTCACAGACCTGTCTGGAAAGGGAGGAGAGGGAACAGGGAGGGAACAGGGGTTTTCCTTCTCTCTTTGTGTGCTTGCCTGGCTCTGGCCTTCTCTGCATTAAAAAAAAAAAGGGCTGGAGTTGAGTAAAATGAGAAATAAAAAGAGAGAGAACCCTCAACCAGCTGCCAATGAACTCCTGTGCAGTTTCACTTCTAGGATAAAAGGAATCCCAAACTTCCTGATGCTTCAGGGGCTGGGATTTGGGAAGCTCAGGCCCCTCTGTGCCTCTGCCAGGAGATTTCCACTGAAGTGGCAAAAAGAACTTGGCTTCCTGTGCTTCCCTCGATCCCCTGAAGTGGGGCTGGAGCTCCCAGTGCTGTCCCTGGGGGAAGGGAGAGCAGGGATTGAGGGTGGGGTCACTTCCTTTCTTTTCCTGGACTCTGTGGTGCCATTCCTGGGCCATTTCTTGCATTTATTTATTACTGAGGGAGGGGAGGGAATTAAATAAATTGTAGCACCGTGGGCCACCTGGATAATTAACGTTTGGACTTTGAATCAGTACAATTCAGGGCAAAATAAGCTACAGAACATGTATTTAAAGAATAAAATCCACCCCCTGGCCTGAAAAAGGAGGGTGTGGATCTGTTCCTTTGCCTATTTTTTACCTATACCCAAAGAAATGCCATCCTACACACACAGTATTCCCAGCTGGGGGCCTTTGTGAATATTCCTTATGTAGAACACCATGAATGTTAATATTGTCATTGAATTTGGGGAGGGGGAATATTTTTAATGATAAAACAACTGTTCAAAGTTGGTTTTTTAAGGTTAAACTGAAAAAAAAAAAAAAGAAAAAACATTTATTCAATTCAGTGTACAATCTGTATTGCACTTTTTCACATTTTAATGCTACGTTTTCTTACATATCCTGTGATTTTAACTTTGGAACATTGTGTATCCTTGTAGTGTCATAGTCCAGCTGTGCAGTGACAGCTTCCCTCAGACATTTGGGGAAAAGGAACAAACCAAACCTGTACATTGTTTTATGATTCTCATGTAGAAGAATTTCAAGGACTGCTGTAGATGTCGACCTTTCTGTACAATTTTTTTGCTTTTCTGTAGTATTTGCTGTATTCTCTATGGCTTTTTTTAATAACTTCATGTTTATTATTTTGTATTGGGCATCCAATACACTTTTTTAATCCAATCAACTCCTGTCCTGCTTGGAGAGTTTGTTTAATTATTTGTAGTGGGTTCAGTGACCAGGTTTGGGGTTTTACTTGCCCTTTTTTCCTTGCTGTGGGTTGTGTTCTCTGAAGAAAGAAGAACAGAACTGTTCTCCCTCCCTCAGGCTTTGTGCAGAGACTGAACTTGGAGCATTTCCCTATTTCAAAGTTCCACAGTAAAAACACCACCTTCTAACGAGCAAGCAGAGAAGGAAGGGGTTCAAACCAGTGCAAGTACAAATAATAGCCTTAATGCACTGGGGAAAATGGAAAAATAATACCATAACCGGGGGTATTGCACCTCCTGATTCTGGATTGTGAAGTGCAGGGATTTATCTCCTCGATGAGCATCAGCCCAGGGCCTGCAGCCACTGCCTGCTCACAGCCCTGTCCCCGCCCTGTCCCCCAGCGCCCTCTGGTCACTCCTTCCTTCCCCTCCCACGTCCCAGCCGGGCAGGGAGCCTGGAATTCTCCTGAGGGATGGCCCGGGGCAGCTCAGCTGGGTCAGGGCTGGTGGGGGCAGGGAGAAGCCTGGGGAGCATTTCCTGTGTCCAGGGGGAGCAGATGAACCCTGCCCCCCTCACCGAGCCCCGGGCAGGGGGCACTGCCCCGGGGGCAGGGGGGCAGGAGCTGAGCTTTGCCAGCCCTGCCCAGGGGATTCACACGCATCACTGAGCAGGGAAAAGCCCTCCCAGACCATGGAGTTCACCTTGTGCCCAAACCCCACCTTGTTCCCAGCCCAGAGCGCTGAGTGCCACCTCCAGCAATTCCTTGGACATCTCCAGGGATGGGGACTCCAAACATCCCTGGGTGGACCCTTCCAATACTTTCCATGAAAAAATTCCTCCTGGTGTCCAACCTGATCCTCCCCTGGCACAGCTTGAGGACGTCTCCTCTTATCCTGTTCCCTGAAAGCAGAGTCTGACCCCCGCAGCTGTCCCCTCCTGTCAGGGGGCTGTGCAGAGCCAGAAGGTCCCTCCTGAGCCTCCTTTTCTCCAGGCTGAGCCACCCCAGCTCCATACTCCAGGTTCTGCGACACCAAGAGCGTTCCCTGGGGACCCCTGGCTGTGTCGCTGTGCCCGGGGCTGTGCCAGGCCCCTGAACACCAATGCCAACCAATTCCCTGCGAAACAAAACTCACCAGCCCAGGCTCCTGGTGGCAGCTGGCAGGAGGCTCTTGGCACTGTCAAAGCAGCCCGAGCTGCCGGGGGTGGCAGCTTGGGAGCATCCTGCTCACTGTGCAACCCCAGCGGGCAGGGGGGCAGCCCTGCAGGGCAGCGGTGCCACCGCAGCCCGGGGACAGCAGGTGGCAGCGGTGCCACCGCAGCCCGGGGACAGCAGGTGGCAGCGGTGCCACCGCAGCCCGGGGACAGCAGGTGGCAGCGGTGCCTCACGGCGGAGCAGCCGCAGCGCTCGCACGGCCCGGGCCGAGCTCCTGGAAGGACGAGGGACCCCCAGGGATGCTGCTGCTGCTTCCGAGGGCAGCTCAGGGGGAACTCCCGCTGTAAATCCCAGAGTTGCCAAGGGAGCTTTGGCTTCCGACCCACAACAAGGGTTGCCTCAAACAGCTTCAATAAATTGGGCAACGCTTGCAGGCTTTTGCCCGGTGAGAGCAGCCACCCATCCCCTCCTGAAGGAGCCTGGGTCTGATCCAGAACCCTCTGCAGCTCAGCAAAAGCGTTTCTGCAGCAGCTCAGGGTGATTCAGCTCAACAGCTTTTACCAAAATCACTGAACCAGTGCAGCTTTTCTTAGGATCCCAGAATGGTTTGGATGGAAAGGACCTTAAAGTCCAATTCCACTCCCACCCCTTGCCATGGCAGGGACACCTTCCACTGCCCCAGGCCCTGTGCAACCCGGCCTTGGGCACTGCCAGGGATCCAGGGGCAGCCCCAGCTGTGCCAGGGCCTCACCACCCTCACAGGGAGGAATTTGTCCCCCATATCCCATCCAGCCCTGCCCTCTGGCAGTGGGAAGCCATTCCCTGCGTCCTGTCCCTCCACCCCTTGTCCCCAGTCCCTCTCCAGCTCTCCTGGAGCCCCTTCAGGCCCTGGCAGGGGCTCTGAGCTCGCCCCGGAGCCTTCTCCTCCCCAGGTGAGCACCCCCAGCTCTCCCAGCCTGTTTCTGTGAGATCAGGAGAGGCTTCCAGCAGGTTACACATCTGCCTCTTGAAAGCCAAGCTTGGAGCTGCACTGTGGCTCTCCAGAACCTTCCAGACACAATAAAATCCCTGCCCCCAGAGCAGCTGTGCCAGCTCTGCAGGTGGTGGCACCCTGGAAGTGCAGGGGACAGACATTCCAGGAAACAGGCAGGACTGTCAGGGCACAGCAAGTTTGGAAAAGAAAAGCCAACCCTTGGCAGCCACAGGAACATGAGCATAGAGGTGGCAAAGTGGAGAACACCCCCAGCCCCAGCCTGCACACCTACCTGCCTGGGGAAGGGACAGGGAAAGCCAGAATGCCACAGAGGGTCAGGGACAAACAAATCCAGAGAGGATCCAGCCCACTCTGGGGCTCCCCCTTTGCTGTGGGGGAACATTGTGAGCAGCACTTTCCCCTCCATGGGCAGGGCTGGAGGCAGCTGCATGAGGACAGCAACTTGTTCCCTGTCCTTTAGTAACCCATAATCAACTTTTCCAGCTCTTAGCCAGTTCCAGCTCCTGTTTCCCACCCTGATTCCTGCACACCTTCCCCTCTCCAGAGGTGCAGGAACCACAGGGCTGTGACTTTGGGCACACACTGATTTTCCCTGGCAGTATCTCAGGAGGAAATCCTGCTCCCCAGGAGGATCTCTCAGGACATCCCAGCCCCAGGGAGCTGCCCAGGTGCTCTGCCCACAGCGGGCTGGGCATGGTGACAGTCACCACAGCCCTTGTGTAGCACCAGTGTCACCAGTGCCAGCCGTGGGGACAGGAGGCAGTGCTGCTCCTGAAGTGCAAATGCAGCCCTGGACACAACACCCTGCACACCCCAGGGATGTTCTCCAGCTGCTGCCGAGGCTGGGAGAGCTGAACAGGCCAAGCTGGAGAGGCAGCAATGAAATCATCACTCGTTAACTTCACCCAAACCAGGAGGCACTCGGGGGCTGCAGGCAAGGCTGGGCTGCCACAGGCTCCTCTGCTGGCTGAGCCCCTTTCCCCCTTCTGCCCTTCCAGTGAGTCCTGTGATGTCCCCTCCAGGTGAGGGGAACGCTTCTCTCCTGCCTGCAGAGCTGAGGGGGCAGGAGAGCCCCGGTCAGGGCTGGCAGGGCCGCAAAGGCGGAGCTGGAGCATCCAGGGGCAGCTGCTGGGGAGCTGCTGGCTCCAGCCCCCCCGGGGCCCTTTCACAGCGGGCAGAGGCAGCTGCTGACCCCCAGGTGCCACCCTGCAGGACACGGGGACCGGCCCGGGGACTCCCGGCAGCGCCCGGGGGCCGCGGGACAGGGTTTGGGGTCAGCCGGGGGGGTTTCCAGCCCCCGATGGGCGCGTTCCGGACTGGGCATCCCGCCCTCCCGGATCCCGGCATCCCCGTGCGCCGCGAAAACAGCGGAGCCCATCGCTGCCCGCGGCAGTGACAGCGTCCCCACGGTGACGGCGTCCCCTCGGTCCATCCCTCCGTCCATCCCTCCCCGCCTGCCGGGTGCCGGGCCGGGCGCTCCCCCCGCGGTGACAAACAGCCCTGGCACTGCAGGGAGCGGCCGCCAGGGAAACCTTGCCAGGGGCTCTCCACAGTCCCGGTGCCATCCCAAATCCTCTCCCAGCGCTCGCAGCCTCGAGGGCTGTCCCTGGGTCACCCTGGCGGGGGTGTCCCTGTCCCAGGACCGCATCCTGCCCTCCTCAGCCTCCCCTCCCCCGCGGCCCTGCCTGGCTGCCCCTGCTCCCACGGATTTCTCCATCTTTTCCCGCAGGGGCACAGAGCCCTCCCAGCATCCCACGGACCGCGGCCAGGCTGGAGGAGCAGGGGCTTCCACGGCTGCGTTCCCTCCTGGATCCCCATAGACATTCCTGGCCTCCCTTGCCCAGCTCTGGGCACCAGCACAGATCAGTGGGGGCGTTTTCCCACTTGGAGAAAAAGGGAGAAAAGCTGTGCTGGTGCAGGCAGTGCTGGGAGGGTGGGGAAAGCAAAGGGACAAGGAACCCCCAGACATGGGGCTGGGGGGAAAGAAATGCTGCCCAGTCCTCGCCCCAAGTATGCCAGCACAGAGGAGACCCTAAAAGCAGAGCACACAGCCCAATTCCCAGATCCAGCACCTTCCAGAACCTTCCACCCCAACCAAGTCCCCCAGAGCACCTCCAGTTAGAAGCAGGAGTGGCCAGGGGGGACAGAGCCCAGGGCCAGCGCTCAGCCTTCCCCCACAGCTGCCCCCAGCAGCCAGGACCAGCAGCACCCCCAAAAAGTGGAGTTCAGGTGGAGAGGCACCCCCAAACCCCCCCATTCCTACCTAGGCAGGCACAGGAGAAGCTGCTGGTCCTTCCTGCTGTTTGCTGCAAGGAACTGGACTGGGAGAAGCCAAACTAGAACCTGCTTGTGCCTCACACTCCCCAGGTGTTTCACATCACCTCCATCCCAGGTGTCTCCAATCTCCATCCCAGGTGTCTCCCATCTCCATCCCAGGTGTTTCCCATCTCCATCCCAGGTGTTTCACATCTCCAGCCCAGGACATTTCCCTGAGTCCCAGCCCAGCTGCTCGAGGCTGGGGCTGTCTCTGCCCACCCAGCTGGGCCTGGAAAGGATGGGAGTGGAGTGGGACAGCCCTTCCCAGTCAAGGTTGCTCTGTGAGAACCACTGGGATCTAATAAAACCCATCAAGCAAAGAACAGCATCAGGATAAATTAGAAATGGATGCTGAGTCCCCACAGTGCTGTGACTCAGGGCTCCCAGAGGATATTCCAGAGTGCCCGAGGCTGGTGCCTGCTTGGTTTTGTACCACTCGAACCAAACCCTGTGATTTAGGCAACCACTTTGCTGGAGACAGGGGCAAAAAAAGGTGTGGTTTGTGCCA